ATTCTTCCCATTGGAACTGTAGCTTTCTGCACGGTCCCACCAGCCAGGCCTTGGTCCCCTACCCTCCACCCGGGATGTGTGTCTTTCGCCCACTGGGTGCCCCTCATTTTGGCCCTCCCTCTGGCTCGCCCTGACCTTATGAGGCTGGGGGTGTCCATACTGTATCTTCCTCAGACCAGGGGTCCTTGGGGGTGGGCAGGTGGCCACAGGCCAGGGGGCAGGGCCTTGTGGGCGAGCCAGTGGGCAGCTCATTGCATGGATGGGCCGATGATGGCCATGTATCTTTGGCCCAGGGAGTGGCAAGTCATTAGGTGAGAAGTGGGTGGATGGGATCTGGGACTTGATGGATGAAGAAGTGGGGGGCAGCTTACTAGATGGGATGCACCCAGGTGACCCCTCGCCGTCACTCCCGCAGAGCGGCAACAAGATCGCCCTGCGGACCACAGCCCTGGAGAACACCTCCATCAAGGTGGGCCCCGCCCGGAAGAACGTGGCCAAGGGCCGCATGGCCCGTAGGAGCAAGCGGAGCCGCCGGCGGGAGACCCAGGACCGGTGAGCGGTGGTGGGCCTGCGCAGGGCCCCAGCTCCCCCGGACTGCTGGGGGGGGCGGGGCTTCTGAAGCGTCAGGCCTCTTCCCCCTCAGGCGGAAGTCACTTTTCAAGAAGATCTCGAAACAGTCCTCCGTGCTGCACACCAGCCGAAGCTTCTCCTCCGGCCTCCACCACTCTCTGTCGTCCAGTGAGAGCCTTCCGGGTTCGCCCACCCACAGCCTCTCCCCCAGCCCCACCACTCCTTGCTGCAGCCCTGCCCCTGACGCCCCTGCAGGTAGGTGTACCCCCCCCCCCGGGCCACCCTGGGGCTGCTCAGGTCTGTGGGGGCTGGCCCCGGTGAGGGAGCCAGCGGGGTTTAAAGGAGGGAATGACACGATGGAAGAAGGGAGACCAGAAGGCCCTTTCCAGTCGCCTGGGGTCTGAGAAGCAGCCTGGGGGTGGTAGGGAAGAGGTGTGAGAGCAGAGAGAAGAGGGCGCCCAGCTGAGGGAGCATGGTAAACAAAGGGGGCTGGACTGCAGAGTTGTGAAAGTTGGGGTGGGGGCGGGGAGGGGAAGGCTGGGTGTGGAGGACATTGGGAGATGGGTCAGGCCAAGGAGCTGGGCTTAAAACGGGTGGGCAGCTGGGAGCCATGAAGTGTGTGTGAGCTAGAGAGGGCATATTTTAGAAGCGTCTAAATTTTAGAAAGATCATTCTGGGGCAGGAAAGGATGGAGACTTGGCCTAATGCTGAGCGTCCCCAGGCTGTGAGAGACAGCCAGGCACAGACACCCCTAGGCCCACTGGGTTTGCATCCAGGCTGGGGCACCCCAAAGGGGAAGCAGAGAAGGCCTCCTGGAGGAGGCCCCTGCTCCAGGAAGCCCTCTCTGCCCCCTGCGCACCCCAATTGCTGACCCTCTGGCTTAGCCTGACTTGGTGGGGCTGAGGGTATCTGTGCTACCTTTGCTTTCCTCAGACCAGGTACCCTCTACAGCTGAGGCTCGGGGTGGAGGCGTGGGCACGGGCAGATGGCGGATGCGTATAGTATATTTGGCTCATCAAGTGGTAGGTCATTAGATGAGAAGTGGGTGGATAGGAACTAGGGCTTTGATGGATGAGTGTTCTCCGGATCTAAGCCAAGGGAACACCTTGCACATAGAGCAGGAGGCAAGAAAAGCAGGCCCACTGGGTGGCCGCAGGCAAAGCCGTGGGCTTCGGCAGGTGCACTCAGCCCCAGAGCCCCACGTCAAGGCCGGGGACATTGAGGCCAGTGGCCCTGACCCTCATCTGTCACCCACAGACACCGCATCCCCTCCCAGTGCATCCCCGAGCTCCAGCAGCCCCGCCTCTCCCGCCGCCGCTGGCCACACCCGCCCCAGCTCCCTGCACGGCCTGGCCGCCAAGCTCGGGCCACCCCGCCCCAAGGCCGGCCGCCGCAAATCAACCAGCAGTATCCCACCCTCCCCACTGGCCTGCCCACCAGTGCCTGTGCCCCCACCCCGCTCACCGTCGCCCCTACCTGGGCACCCGCCTGCACCTGCCCGGTCTCCACGGTTGCGCCGGGGCCAGTCGGCCGATAAGCTGGGTTCGGGCGAACGGCTGGACGGGGAGCTGGGGCGCCGCAGCCGGGGGCCAGACTCGGAGCTGGTAGTCATGCGGAGGCTACACCTATCGGAGCGCCGAGACTCCTTCAAGAAGCAGGAGGCTGTACAGGAGGTGAGCTTTGATGAGCCCCCCGAGGAGGCCACCGGGCCGCTCACCTCCATACCGCAGATTGCTGTGGAGGGCGCCAAGGCTGTGCCAGGAGCCTTTGGTCCTGCCGAGAAGGACTGATCCCTCCCACCCGGCCTCTCTCTGGCCTTCAAGTCGGGCTTTTTTTGTGCAATGTTTTTTCCATAAAGTGACTCTCGGATGGAGACTGAGCCACCAGACTATGACACCTGGAAGGCGAGAAGCCATCTCAGTCCTTCCTGGAAAAGAGACAGCACCTCCCTCGTGTGCCGGTGCACATCAGGGGGCCGTACTTAGGGGCAGGAATGGGGGACAAGGGTGGCATTGTAAATAGCAGCAAATCCCTGCGACTAATTTATTACTTTTTATAAGCGATAGGTAGACTGAGCCGCCATTGTGAAGGTGGCTGCCCGGGTCCTGCCCCTTGCCCCTGGGACCCCCCACTTGCAGACGCTGCCCCCTGGGCTGAGAAGGAAGCACTTTGGACAAGTCATGTATGTTTGTGTTTTTTAGGTTTTCTGTATTTTTTAGTTTGTGTGTGTGTGTGTGTGTGTGTGTGTCGCTTGATCCCATCCTGGCTCAAGACCCACTGATTTGAGGGGATGGATACAGGCAAGCTTGCCTGTCCGGGCCCAGTGTGGATAGGACTCGGACAGTCTATAATGACCCCTCCACCACAAAACAAAGCAATCTCAATGATGGACTGGATCCTGAAAGCTATGTCTCACTGTCATAGCCTCTGTCCCTAGGCCAGTCGTGCTAGACTGTGCTTCTAGTCCCGAAGGCTTCAGCCTGGAGGAGGGGGTGTGCGACCTGGGACTTTGTTGGATGAGCAGAGAGGTTACCCGCTCCACAGGGTGACACCGATGCCCTGGGAGGGAGGCGCAGGCCTCCAAGGGTACTGCCAGGGCAGGAGAAGAATGTCCACCCCGGACAAGCTTTCATGTGCTTGATGCCCACCAGAGCGAGCCCTTGACCCTGATGTGTCTGAAACATCCTATGGGGTGGGCATGGGTTCCTTCAGTGTATCACAGCCTTCCTAGAATGAAATTCAAGTGAGAAACCCAACTGGGGGGGCAATGGGGCCCAAGTTTGAATCTCGGCTTCCCTGTGTGGCTCTGGGAAAATGGCTTTCCCGCTCTGTGCCTCAGTTTCCTTGTGTTTACAAAACTAATCCCGATGACTATTTATTAAGCACCCATCTTATGCCAAATGCTTTTATTCGTGGCTTCGCCCTCAGCCAGCCTTGAGAAAGCTGCAGGTGGTGGTGTCATCCCCGTTTTACAGACTGGTGACGGAGGCCTGGTGAGGGGTGGAGACTTTGTCCCACGATCACCTGGTGAAAAACCGTGCAGCCAGGCCCTGTCGTGGGTACTGTCAACAAGGGAGCTGGAATGGAGAGGCTGGTGTCAGATACAGCGAACTCCATCTCCAGCTCTCTTCCCCAGGCTGCTGTGTGAGACACACCACACACCTCACAACCTCCATTTCCTATTTGGAGGTGGCTGGCAAGATCACTGTGCCCCACAGGGTGAGGGCACATCCCAGGCACTGTACCCACTCTGCATCCTTCCCAGAGACCCTCGCCCAGCACTGGCTGGTGCTGGAGCTAGACCAAGGCTGTGCATGACTTGCTCCCTCCTTCCATCCTGGAGCTGACCGTGAATAAAAGCCCACATTTACAAAAAGGAGGCCCAATGTCTGGATTCGTGAGGGGGAAAGAAAGGGGTAAGGGGAGAGCGTGGTGGGGACAGGGTGAAAACTGGCTTCATTTGAAGGGGTTTTGAAGGCTGCACAGGAGTTCACCAATGAGACTCTGCCTGATGTCTTCTCCGGGCCCTGAGTACCCAGCATAGGCTCCGCTCTTAAAAGCTTCATCCAGACACCGATCTGGGGCCCCGAGCTGCGTTAATAAAACAAAACAACCATCTTTGTGTCCTTTCTATACAGGTTTTTGAACTGTACCCTGTCCGCCACAATCCTCCACCCCGCACGCAACCCCAACTCAACTCAGTGTTTTGGGTTATCTGGGCAGAACCAGAAGCCCTTGGCCACGCCCACCGCTGCCGCTTGTATTCGGCAATTCCGGAAACAATCGTCTTTTCGGGGCCCTTGCGGAGCGTGTCCTCGCGCTCGCAGGGCAGCACATAGTTCAGCTGTTTCCGGACGCTCTAGGCTGCCATGGAAACGCTTTCAATCCCAGCAAGTTTGGCTCTTTCCTGAAACGCTCAGGTTTCTGTTGCGAGCTCCTTTTCCACCCCACCGCCTCCTGTTCCCGGAGCTCGGGGCCGCCTCGCGCCCTTTGAAGCCATCCATACTTAGGCAATTTTCGGAAGCTGGTCCATCTCTGGATCTAAACTCACAGGGCCTCTTTCTGTGTCCGAGCACACCCGGTTCTTTGCAGAAACTGCAGTCTCGGGGCTCAGCCTCTGTTCCATCAGTCCGGCTGGAAATCGCTCGGCGATTTCCGGAATAACTTGGGCATCGCCGAGCCCAGCCGAGCCCAGGGAAACGCTTCGCTAACGGGATTGCGCTCGGCTGTTTCCGGAAGAGATCGGCTATCTCGCGGCGCCCTCTGCCCGCCAGTCCCGCGGGAGTATGTTCGGCTCTTTCCGGAAATGCTCGGCCATACCGAGGCTCCGCCTCCGCCTCGCTTCACGCGCCCGGCCCGAACGCGCTCGGCCATTTCCGCCGGGGGCGGGCCCGGCTGTTCGGAACCGCGGCGGCTGTGGCGGAGGCGGGGATCCCGCGGCTGCGGCGACGGCGGCCGCGGCGGAGCCACGGGTCGGGCTCCGCTCCGTGTGACGGCGGCCGCGGCGGCGGTGGCGGCCGCGACCAGGTAAGTCCAGGCCGGCTGGCGTGGCTGGGCTGGGCGTGCGCTCAAATGGGGGGCGCCTAAGCAGAGTGTGGGGCCGAGGTGGAAGTCGACGCTAGCGCCTAGCTGCATCGCGTCCCGCGGGAACCCGGGGCCTCAGGGAGCGGGAGGCCTCGGGTTCGACCTGGCAGCGGTGCAGCCCGCCAGGGAAGGTGGGGAGAGGAACGGGGTGCCTCCAGGCAGAGATAAGGGGCTAGGGCTGCGGCCCCAAATGGAAGGCGGCCCTGCCTGGAGTGGGGCGTCGAGCAGTAATAAGGGGCACCCAGGCATTGTGTGGGACACAGTGAGATGCAGGAGGGTCGGGGGTCGACCCCACTTCCGTTCCCCTGGAGGCTGCTGGGTCCACGCCGGCCCGAGGACGCGTCTGAACACGCGTGAGCGCGCGGGCCTTGCGTCCAGCCGCCCAGCCCCTGGCCAGGCCTGGCCCCTCCACCCGGCCTCTTGGATTCCCCGGGCGCACACACCGGGGCGTGTGCAAACGTGTGCACGGTGGGGCGCGGAGGCGGCCGGGGAAGCGGATCCAGGCGGTTTCCTGGACGTCCCCTCGCTGGGCCTCAGTTTCCCCACCTGTAGAATGGGGGCCCATGGTCCAGGAAGCGGGTACGTCTGGGCGCCCCGGAATGTGGAACCTCTGCCCCCTGCAGAGAGTCCCTTCTGGGGCTCTCGTGGTGGTCGGGGGGATAAAGCCCCGACCCCCTGTCTGGCACTCGAGGACCAGCGTGGTCCACGGTGGGTGGCTTTCATGCAGCCACCCCGAACTCTTGGCAGACAACTTCCCCTGTCAAGCCTTTGCACGTACTATTCCCTCTAGCCAGTACTCTCCTGCCCTTTCTGAAGACCCGCCCTCTAGAAAAGCCTGCCCTCCCCCACTGCCCTGTCTCAGGAAGACCGAACCTGTAGGGCTGAGACTGGGAATGTAGGGCTAAGACTGGGAATGTTGTCCGGGTGGGCAGTTTCCCCGGGACTGGGCGCTCCGGGGCGGGGCGTGGTCACCAGTAGGCCATGCACCCAGCAGCCTTCCCCTTGGTAGCTGTGATGTCCTCCAGCCTTGAACCCTCTCCCGGCTCCGTGGAGGCTCCCTTGTCCTCCCCTCACTCCCCTCGTGTTCTGAGATCCTACTCTAGGCCTCTCCTTGAGCCAGCCTGGGACACACACGCACACTTCTCCCCTGCAGACACCTGGGACTCACTTGTCGGTCCTTTGCCCATGCTGGGGCCTCTAGCGGGACCTGCTTTCCTACCTCTTTGCTCCCTTGCTGCCCCCTGCGTTCAGCTGGCCTGGCCCCTTCTCGGGGCTCCTGTAGCACCCTGAGCATTGCCCATCACTCTCTACCCACCGCGGGTATAACCAGCCGAGTGACTGCTGCCTCCTGGCATCCATTCTGTGCTGTGAAGTTTGGCGGGTCTCAGTTTTTGAGCCCTGGCTTCATGGCCCGCTGAGTGGTCTGACAAAGACCTCCGGGCTCTGAGCCTCAGTTTCTCCACCTCTAACGGGCAATGAAGAGCATGCAGTCTGCCTGGGGCAGAGCTCCCGAGAACCCCAAGGGCTGCTGTTAATACCCATTTTACAGCTGGGGAAACTGAGCCTAGAGAGGGGCCCCAGGTTACCTAGTGAGTCAGGGGATTCCACCCTCAGATTTGGGTCCATCTCTGGGGCGGGGGTGTGAGGAGCCCAACCTGGCTGACGCTGCCCTGCCCCTCTCCCCCTAGGTCGGCGTCCTGGCCAAGCATGGTGACAGCCTGTGCCCTCGGCCCCCTCGTCTGGCGCAGCCGGAAGAGCCGCCAGCCTCGGGCGCCGATGGCCCCCCGTGTGAGGGAGTGAGCAGCCCGGCCCTGCCCTACGGATTGAGGGGGGACGCAGCGGCCGAGTGACCCGAGACCACGCTGCTGACCCCCTCCCACCAGCTAACGAATGGTGGACCGAGCGATGAGTGACCCGCGTCAGGGTCCTGGAATGACGGTGGGAAGCAGGGCATGAGCGACCCCCGTGGTCCCCTGTAACTTCTTGGTAGAAGTAGTGAGTGGTCGCGGTGCCCCAGGCCGACTCAGCGGACCCTCCCGGCTGTCGCCCCAGCTGATGGGGCCACTGGGGCGCCGAGCAGCCGCGTGACCGTCCAGACCCCACCCTGCCCAGCCATGGCCGGTGCCGAGGGCTTCCAGTACCGCGCGCTGTACCCGTTCCGCCGGGAGCGGCCGGAGGACCTGGAGCTGCTGCCCGGCGACGTGCTGGTGGTGAGCCGGGCGGCCCTGCAGGTGCTGGGCGTGGCCGAGGGCAGCGAGCGCTGCCCACAGACCGTGGGCTGGATGCCCGGCCTCAACGAGCGCACGCGGCAGCGAGGCGACTTCCCCGGCACCTACGTCGAGTTCCTGGGTCCCGTAGCCCTGGCCCGGCCTGGCCCTCGGCCACGTGGCCCCCGCCCACTGCCCGCCAGGCCCCGTGATGGGCCCCCTGAGCCAGGTGAGAGCGGCAGGCAGGGGCAGGGATCCCCCCAGACCCTCAGCTTCCTCTTCTTCCTCGTGAAGCAATGGCACGTCTTCCAGGGGAGGAGGAATAAGGACATCTGGTGGGTCAGCAAGTGCTGACTGCCCCACTGTCAAGGGCGGTTCGTGGCGCGGGGACGCAGCGGCGGGCACGGGCCTGGCCCTGCCCCTGCGGGGCTCCTGGTTCGAGAAGGCGATGAGGTAGTGAAAAAGGCTGGGAGGAAGGAGCCTCGCGAGGGTGAAGGGCTCCGGGCGGCAAGCAGGGCCCAGGCAGAGGCTGAGAGGTAGGAATGTAGTAGTGGGTGCCGGAGCAGCCCGCGGCGCGGAGCAGGAAGGGCCGGGCAACCGGGGCTGTGCCTCAGGGACTTTGTGGGATTGATTTTGAGGATGGGGGGCGGCGGGGGAGTGTTGAGCAGGATTCAGAGGTTCCCTTGAGCTTCATCCCTCAGTTTGCAGATAGGGTCCCTTGGAAACCTCGCCCCCCTCTCTGTTATCCTCATTTTATCTGGATTCCAAAATGAAGGGGCCCACAAAGCCTAAATAAAGAGGATGGGATGATCGTTCAAGGCCCTGCGGCACACTGGTATAGGAGGACCCCACATCCCTCCCCAGAGACCCTTAGCCATTGGACTCCCGAGGCGTGTTCTAGAAGGGAAGAACTGAAGGCCCCGGGGGTATGCCGAGATCGCTGTATGCTGGGCAGGGCACGTGGGTTCCAGTCAGGGAAACCGAGGCTCAGGCTGCAGGGAGGAGGCTGAGAAGTGCTGAGTGCCTGGCAGTCTGCTCCCGCCCTCACAGCACCCAGGGAGGCCCCACATACAGATGGGGAGACCGAGGTGCCAAGGAGTCAAGCCACTCTCCCAGGCTCCGTCCCCCAGGGAAGGCCAAGGCCCTGGGAGGTGCCATGGCCCCAGCCTTTGGCCTGCCCAGTTTTGTGCCAGAGGGACCCTGATGCCCCAAGAGGGTTGCACCGGGACCCCACAGCGTGGGGCCGGCTGGGGGGCACAGAGGCTGCGTGGTGCTAAGTGTTGGTGGCATCTGGTGCCTCCAGGGCCGGGGCCCACGTCCCGCCTCAGCCTGCAGGAGCAGGAGGCGGCCCCATCCGGGCTCCCAGCCAAAATCTGCCTCTCCCCCTGGTAACAGCCGCCTCCCTCCTCTGCCTGGCCTCCGTCCAGCCACCACACACATGCCCACTCCGGGTGGCTGCCCAGCCCCGCCCTCCAAGGCTTCCAGGACTAGGTGACAGCAGCTAGGGCCAGCCCCCTTCAGGCCTCAGTTTCCTCATCTGGCAGCAGGAAGAATCAGTCCTTTGCACGTTCAGGCCCTGCCTCCCCTGGGCCCCAGGACCACCCAGCAGCGCGCTGTGGCTGCCTGTGTCCCCTCCGTCCGACCCCACACGGGGAGCCGAGTACGGGACTCCAGTGTCACCTGGGCCCCCAGAGGCTGGTTGCTTCCTCCCTCCGCCTCAGTTTCCCCATCAATAAAATGGGGGTGACACCTGTTCTCATGAGACTTCCCTCCCCGCTTTGCAGACTAGCCAGCAGCAAGTTTCAGGACTGTGCCCCCATCCTGCTGCTGTCCCCCACCTCATCTCCCCTTGTTCTCTTTTTCTCTCTCCAGCGTTTTTGGCTTCGCTGGGCCTTTCTCCAGCTTCAGGCACCACCTGGCCCATCACTCAGGGAGGCCCCGCAGGCCTGGGCTTGCCCTTGCTGGATGCCAGCGCCGCAACAAATGGTGGCCACGCAGGCAGAGCACGCCCGAACACAAGGGGCCTGGCAGAGCGAGAACCGCAGGGCTGGGAAGGCCTCACACCGCTGGGAGGGGGGCCAGCATTTTTAAAACGGGGCAAATCCTTTTTTTTTTCTTTTTTTAAAGCAAGGGGACTTAGAAAATGGAGAAGGGTCCTTGAAATGAGGTGTTCTGACCCGGATAGGGGATACCGTCCTTTTATTCTTTTCAGCCACTTTATTGTTCCCATTAAGGGAGGGCGAACACCACCAGCCAGTTTCTTGCTTAAGGGAACTGAGGCACAGAGAGGGTGGGTTCTGTGCCCAACGTTGCACAGCGAGCAACAGCGGCAGCTGCTGTAGTGAACTCCTGCAGACTCGGTGGCTTCAAGAAACAGGGTATTTTCTCCCTGTTCTGGGCTCTGGAGGCCAGAAGTCCAAAATCAAGGTGTCGGCAGGGCCGTGCTCCCCCTGAGGTCCTAGGAGTGGATGGTTCTTTGCTTTCTTCCAGCTTCTAGCACCTCCAGGGGATCCTTGGCTTGTGGGCACTACACCCCAATCTCTGTCTTTGTCTCCACACGGTCTTGTCTCCTCATAAAGGCACCCGTCATTGGATCGAGAGCCCTGAATCTAAGAAGATCCCCTCTCAAAACTCTTACCTTAGTTATATCTGCATAATAAGGTCACAGTCACAGGTGTTAGGATTAAGATGTGGACATTTCTTCTGGGGAGACAGTAATCAACCCACTACCCCTGGTCTCTGGAGTTGTGTAGACTGGTATTTTAACCCAGAAAATTGTTTACCGCCAACCCAACCCGCCCGGCCCCTCCAGCCAGGCTTCTTGGCTTCCAAAGTTCGGTGGTTTCAGATGCCAGGTGCTTGCCTAGACCAGATCCTACCTGGAGCCGCCCAAGCTGAGGTCCAGGCAAGGAAAGGGACTGGGGTCCTCCCAGGGACCCCACCAACATGTCCCCTTCTGCCAGGCCTCACGCTCCCTGACCTGCCAGAGCAGTTCTCCCCCCCTGATGTGGCCCCCCCTCTCCTGGTGAAGCTCGTAGAGGCCATTGAGCGGACAGGTGAGCCTCTGCCGGGCTGCAACCCCTGTATGCTGCTTGCTTACCTCTGGTGATGGGCAACTCATCCTCTCATGGGGCTGCCACACCCCCTCTGCATGGAAAGCAGCTGAGCTTAGCTGCCCTGGACCTCCATGCAGGTGTTGGGGCAGTAGCGACTCCTCCGGGTGGGATGGGAATGTGGTCACGGGACCTGCCCCTGCATGTGCTGTGCCCTCTGGCACCATCTCTCTCCCCTCCCCCTGCTGTTAGGATCTCTGGGAGGTTGAGTAGCCATCCCCGGCCCCACAGGGGGTACGGGAAGCATTTCAGAGCTGGTCTTGCTGTCTGGGGTAGGGCTGACCCACCCCTTCCCATACCCACTCCTCCAGGGCTGGACAGCGAATCCCTCTACAGGCCTGAGCTGCCCGCCCCGCGCACAGGTGAGCGGACACTTGGATGGGCAGGGTAGTGCGGGGGGGGGGGAAGAGCTGGCCCCGGACCTCCTGGCCAACCCTGCCCCCCCCCACCCTGTGCCCCCGCAGACTGGTCCCTAAGCGACGTGGAGCAGTGGGACGCCACAGCCCTGACAGATGGCGTCAAGAGCTTCCTGCTGGCGCTGCCCGCGCCCCTCGTGACGCCCGAGGCTGCGGCCGAGGCGCGCCGGGCCCTGCGGGGTGAGCCTGGCGGGGAGCCCGGGTGGGAAGGGGGGCCGGGGCGGACCGTCGCCGGCCCCGGCTCACCCAGCCCTGGCCCTCTGTCCGCAGAGGCCACGGGGCCCGTGGGGCCGGCGCTGGAGCCTCCGACGCTGCCACTACACCGCGCGCTCACGCTGCGCTTCCTACTCCAGCACCTGGGCCGGGTGGCCCGGCGTGCCCCGACTCAGGGCCCCGCGGTGCGTGCCCTGGGCGCCACCTTTGGGCCGCTGCTGCTGCGCACGCCGCCGCCCTCGCCGCCGCCAGGGGGCGCGCCCGACGGGTGAGAAGCCAGAGGGGGCGGGGCTGGGGCGGGGCTGGGGCGGAGCTGAACGGGGTTGGGCTTTAAACGGAGGGCGGGCGGGGCGCCTCCGCCCTGAGTGGGGTCGAGGCCGTGATCAAGCCTTGTGCACGCGGCCCTGGGGTTGAGGCCAGAGCTGTTGAGACACCAGGACGAGTAAGGATACAAGGGTGGGATCTGTGGTTCCCGGGAAGACCCCGGCAGCCTTGAGACCTGAAGGGGTGGGGCCCAGACCGCAGAAGAGGCTCGTGGGTGGTGCCGCGCGCCTTCACTTCTGCGCCCGCTCCCCCGCCAGGTGCCAGACTCCTGTGCATTTCTTGTACGAACATTCACCGAGTGCTTCCTGCATATGCATAAACAGGAGTGGGCCTCCCACACCTGCCTGCCATCTACTCTTCCCTGCACACGCTTTCACGTACCTCTGCCCCGCATGCAAGGACCCTGGGCCCATCAGGCCCTACCTACCCCCTGCCCTCCCCTTTCCCCTAGGACTGAGCCCAGCCCCGACTTCCCAGCGTTGCTGGTGGAGAAGTTGCTTCAGGAACATCTGGAGGAGCAGGAGGTCGCACCCCCAGGTGACACCCCTCCCCCATGTTAACTCGTGTCATTGGAAATCATGAATGCTTACTTGGAGTCCTGCCCGGGATCAGCAAGGAGCCAGCCACAGTATTCAGTGGGTGCTCAATGTACCCTTCTTGTCCTGTCCCCCAGCGCTGCCGCCTAAACCCCCCAAGGCCAAGCCAGCCCCTGCCAGCCTTGCCAACGGGGGGAGCCCGCCCTCGCTGCAGGATGCCGAGTGGTACTGGGGTGACATCTCCAGGTAGGCTTGTGGGACGGGGCCATGTGGTGGGACGGGTCTCTGGGAGGGCGCCCCAATCCTGGGTGTCCCCACAGGGAGGAGGTGAACGAGAAACTCCGGGACACGCCTGACGGCACCTTTCTGGTCCGAGATGCATCTAGCAAGATCCAGGGGGAATACACGCTGACTCTCAGGTGGGGGCCGCCCCTTCGGGGATGACTGGGTGTGAGCGGTGGGAGGGAGGACACGCAGGTCAGAAGGACGGGGGTTGCATGGAGAGCGGGGCATGTGCACCGTCAGGGTGGCTGGGGGTCCCACCGGCGGCCGACACCCCTCTCACCCGCCCCTAGGAAAGGCGGGAACAACAAGCTGATTAAGGTCTTCCATCGCGACGGGCACTATGGCTTCTCAGAGCCGCTCACCTTCTGCTCCGTTGTGGACCTCATCACCCACTACCGCCACGAGTCACTGGCCCAGTACAATGCCAAACTGGACACACGGCTCCTCTACCCAGTGTCCAAGTACCAGCAGGTGTGCAGCCGGGGTGGGCGGGCAGTGCCAGCCTCCGACATAAGCGTCCCAGGTAGCTTCTCTGATCACACACCGGGTGTCCCTAGGACCAGATCGTCAAGGAGGACAGCGTGGAGGCGGTGGGTGCCCAGCTCAAAGTCTATCACCAGCAGTACCAGGACAAGAGCCGAGAGTATGACCAGCTCTACGAGGAGTACACACGCACCTCTCAGGTATCACAGGCCCGCGCACGCGGGGAGACCCAGACATGGAGGGGCGGCGGCAAGGCCACAGGGACTGACGTCGGCTCCCAGGTCACAGAGCAGTCACTTAGCACCTGGGACTGCCCTAAAAACAAAAATCAGTGCATGCGTTGTCAAAAAGAGAAGGCCCCAGCCGACCTCCCAGGAGCAGCTGAGTCAGGACCTAGAAAATAGCTCGGCTGAACCTCTGTGTTTCTCTGGGCTTCAGTTTCCCCATCTGGAACTGTTTGCTGGAGCCGCAGGTCTTTGTTATTTCTCCATACCCTTCAACCTGGGTGGCATTCAGAGTGATAATAACCTGACAAAGGGCTGGAAACGGGCGCAGGAGATCGTGGGAAAGAGCAGCATCTTTTACAACAGGGAGGGGGGATGGGACTCCTGGGTGACTCCGTCGGTTAAGCAGCCGACTTCAGCTCAGGTCAGGATCTTCTGTAAGTTTGAGCCCCGCATTGGGCTCTGTGCTGATGGCTCAGCACATCTGACTTCTGACTTTGTAGGAAGCTTTTGTCAGGTTCCACAAGATGATGTATGGAAAGTACTCCACGCAGCCTATACCCTGAGGGGGACCCCCATGAACTGTAGGTAGCAACTAGATTCATCATTTTTCCTTAAGGTTTATTTACTTATTTTGAAGAGAGAGAGCGCACGCGCATGTGAACAGGGGAGGGACAGAGACAGAGAGAATCCCAAAGCAGGCTCTGTGCAGTCAGCGTTGCACACTGAAGCCACACTACTAGCTTCTGGGAGCTTAGGCGGGAGATCTTGACCTGAGCCAAAATCAAGAGTTGGACGCTTAACCAGCTGAGCACCCCCCAGGTGCCCCTAGATTTGTCTTTAATTCTCAGCAGTGCTAACAGACCCAAGTGTTTGTAGGGTACCCCAAAGAGGATCTAAAGGAAGCGTTGATTTGGGGGCTGGGGTTCTGAAGGCTGAATAGGAGTCCGTTGGGTACAGGAGGAGCTAGAGGAATGATGCACCTGACAGAGGAACAGCTTGAGCCATGTCTCCATAGCAGAGCTGGGAACTGCCTCCACCCCTCCTGAGGGACTTGAAAGGAACCCCAGCAGGTACTAAGAGGCTCCCCCCCACTTCAGGAACTGCAGATGAAGCGGACGGCAATTGAGGCCTTCAATGAGACCATCAAGATCTTTGAAGAGCAGGGCCAGACCCAAGAGAAGTGTAGCAAGGAATATCTGGAGCGCTTCCGCCGAGAGGGCAATGAGAAGGAGATGCAGAGGTGAGTCATCTCCTCTGCCCCACCCTACCCCACCCTTCCCTGATCTGGTTTGGTGCACTTGGGGAAAGAAAGCAAACAGAGGGGACATCCCGAGCTCCAGGAGGGAGGGAGGGTCATTTGAAATGGGCTTTGAAGGATGAATAGGAGTTCACAAGGGAGCCGCTCCTCCCACAGGATCCTGCTGAACTCAGAGCGGCTCAAGTCTCGCATCGCGGAGATTCATGAGAGCCGCACTAAGCTGGAGCACGAGCTGCGTGCACAGGCCTCGGACAACCGAGAGATCGACAAGCGCATGAACAGCCTCAAGCCGGACCTCCTGCAGCTGCGCAAGATCCGCGACCAGTACCTCGTGTGAGTGCCCTGGGTGCACCTGCTGGTGAGGTCTGGGACATGTGCTGCCCACCCATCTCTTGTCTTCTTCACCGAGCGGCCCCACCCTGCCCCTGGGGCCCCTCTTCTGCCCACAAGCCCCCCTCCCTGTCACCCAGGAAGCCCCCTTGGAAAGGCCGCCTGTGGGTCGGCCTCAGCCTCGTGGTGGTCTGTGAAATGGGAACGCTGATCCCACAGGGTGCAGTCGTTGGGAAGCCACCCTGGGAACGCTAAGTGTCTGACCCAGCACTCGGGAGGCCCGCAGCAGCACCCCTACCCTCACCCCCGCCCAGGGCTGAAATCCGGCCTCTGCCCACCCAGCCACTGAGGGCCTCATCGAGGGCTTCTCCCTCCCACCACTGCCTCAGATGCGTCTGTGTCCCTGCTGTGTGCGGGGCGCCGGGCTCCAGGCCACCTGCACGTTAGCACATTGTTTGTGCAGAGCCCTTTGTAAAGTTGGCCCGTAACAGCTGCGGGAAACAGGTACAGCACAGGGCCGCCCACTGTGTGAAGGCTAAGTGTTAACAGAAGCATAAGTAAGGGGGGAGTTCCCTGGAAGAACCCCAGGTTCGAGCTTTCCTTGACCAAGCCAAGGCTGACCCCTTGTGGCAACTGGCGGTATTGCACCCAGAACCTGGCCTCTCGTAGGTCGGCCCTTGCCTCAGGCCAGGCTGCCGGGGCCACCGCAGCCCAGCCGGCCTGGGCTGTAGCCTCCGTTCCCCACCAGCAGAGCGGGATGAGCCTACCTTTCCTCTCCCTCCAGGTGGCTTACCCAGAAAGGTGCCCGGCAGAAGAAAATCAACGAGTGGTTGGGGATCAAAAACGAGACTGAGGAGTAAGTGAACACCCGACGGGGGGGGGGGGGGGGGGGGGGGAGGCAGGGAAGGCTTCCCAGGGGAGGGGCCGTTTTCGGTGGGCTTTGGGGAATGCGTAGGAGTTCACCAGGGACAGAGAGTTGCCCTGGCGGCGGGAGAGCCGCAGAGGCTTGCGGGTAGGTGAATGACCAGGGTACCCCCCCTGTGTCCCCCACAGCCAGTATGCCCTGATGGAGGATGAGGATGATCTCCCCCACCACGAGGAACGCACGTGGTACGTGGGCAAGATCAACCGGACGCAGGCTGAGGAAATGCTGAGTGGCAAGCGGGATGGTACCTTCCTCATCCGTGAGAGCAGCCAGCGGGGCTGCTACGCCTGCTCTGTGGTGTGAGTGCGAGTGCCGGGCGCAGCGGGGGTGGGGGGGGAGGTAGGGGTTGTACACGTCGCGTCGCAGCGCTCTCACTGAGCACCTACTGCGTGCTGGACCTTGGAAAGAGAGCCAGGAAGAAGCCCCCGAGTGGCTGCCCAGGCAAGGGGGGGAAGCTAAGGCAGGAGACTACGGTGGCGGCGGTGGCCCAGGGTGGGGTCCAGCAGATGGGGAATTTCGAGGAGTTCGCCTGGTGGGAGGGGCGAGGAGCTGGGAGGCACCAGGGGGAGCCCAGCTGACCCGCCCCGTGGCCTGCGCCCCCCGCAGGGTGGACGGCGACACCAAGCACTGTGTCATCTACCGCACGGCCACGGGCTTCGGCTTCGCGGAGCCCTACAACCTGTACGGGTCGCTGAAGGAGCTGGTGCTGCACTACCAGCACGCCTCGCTGGTGCAGCACAACGACGCGCTCACCGTCACGCTCGCCCACCCCGTGCGCGCCCCCGGCCCCGGGCCCCCGCCGGCTGCGCGCTGAGCGCCTGGTGCCGGCCGGACGCTGGGCTGGCAGTCCCGTCTCTCTGTCGCTGTCCCTTCGTCCGGGTTTTCTGTCCTGTCTCCTGTACGAATCTCTTCCTGTTTCTCCTTCCATTTCTCTCTCTGAACCTCTCTCCGTCTCTGCCTGCCCTTCCGTCTCTTTCCCTTCCCACCCATCTGTCCTTCTCTCTGTCTGTGTGTCTGTGTCTCTGGGTTGGGGGGTCCTACCTCCCCAGCCCCATACCCCCACCCTCCTTCATGGGCACTGCCCTCCCCAAGGCTCCGGCCACCCCTAATCCTGTGCCCTGCTCCCCCTCCCCTGGGGTCCCTGAGCCCCACCTGGCTGCCCCTGCCATGTTTACAGAGGCCCCTGGGCTGCGCAGCCCCAGCCTGGGTACCCCAATTTTTAAGCCATAGACCTGGGGTCACGGCAGGAAGGAACTTTACTCAGCCACTTCCAGGAACCTCGGCTGGGACATTCTGGGCCGGGCGGGACCCGCCCCACAGACCCCAACTTCCCCTCCGAACCCTGAAGTGAAACCACCGCTCGGTTATCCCCACGCAGGGGCCGCCGCCAAGAAGTACCCCCCAAAAAAGGCAAAGAATTCAAAATAAACTCACAAGCCGGCCCCACCCGGCACCAGGCTTCCCAGAAATAGGGGCCCCCCCGGCCCCGCTTGGGTGGCTGAGACGCATCACTGCCCACGGCACCTCTGCTCAGTGCAGGTTCAAGGCTTCTCCTCGATCATGTTGGGTTCTGATTTTATTTTCTTCTTGACTGTAAAGCCCCTTTTTCTCTCCTCTTTTGGGACGAGAGCCCTGGTTTTCTACACTCCCCGCGGACACCCCCCCCCTCCCGGCCTGCCCAGCGAGGCTGGCCGGCTGATTTTGTATGGTACGTTCATGCTGGTACGGATATAAAACATCGAACATGTGGATGCTTCCATTGCTGGTGACGGGACTTCGCGGCTGCTGTGTGCCGGGGACCCTGGCGTTCACAGGGTCACACAGACTGGGCAGCCAATGAAGGCTGACAGTCCTACCTCCCTGCCTTCCCGCCACCCGGCTGAGCTACCTGTGACCAGAGAACTTGAGAGGCCTCCCCAAGACCACAGGGGGCAGCGAGCCTCAAACCCGGAGCTCTGCCCTCCGCTGCGGCCTCTGCTCAAGGCCCCCCACACTCCGGCCCCGCTTCTCACCAGCGTCCAGGCTGTCCCCCGGCTTTGAGTCCCCAGCACGCAGCCACCAGCCAGGCCCTCGGGAAAAGCCACCTCCCCTCTGGTGGGCAGCTTCGTCATTGCCAGGTGGGGTCAACGGCACAATCTTCTCATGCCACTCAGAGGGCACCCCCCTCACCCCCCCCCGGTGTCCTTCATGCCCTCAGTACCAGCCCCTCCCTGCAGACTCTCCTCCAACCCCCTTCACCCCCACCCCTGACATTCAGGCCTCCAGGTCCCAGAGGACATTGACCTGGAGCCTCATGGTGTCTTTGACTTTGACCATTCACCATCCTCCCCTCTCCAGGGTCCCTATCTCTCAGCCCTCCTCCCCCCCCCAGAGCAATCTGCCCTCCCCACTCCCCCCCACCCCAGAGCAAGCTTTCTGCCCTCCCCCCTCCAGGTACAGCACTGTCAGGGCCCAGCACGCCTGCAGCAGCCCGGGGTCCATGAACAAAGCTGCTCCTCTGACCCATTTCTCCTACACTGGGCTCCCAGGGCCAGGAGCTGCTCCCCTTTGGCCTGAGGGCCCGGGTTTTCCTCAGGGCTGTCCCTGCTGTGCCCCACGAGAGACTCCAGCCCAGACGCTGCCTCCTGCGGTCCTCACCCACCATGTGGGGGGACACAGGAGAAAGGTCACCTGCTAGGTCCCATGATACCCGCAGGCTGAGCCTGGAGACCAGAGATAAGAGCCCACACATAGCCTCCAGCAGGTGCTGCACTCGACCACCTGCCGCTTCCTTGGCAAAGTCCTCCCCTTCTGATCCTCGATCCCTCGCACCGAGTAGGGTCAATAGTTGCTACCCCCACCCCCAAGAGTGAGTCTCTTAAGGGCTGGATGATCACATGCATGAGGTTACCTTCAGAAATTCATCGGATAGGGCTGCGGCCTCGTAACCACTGGAAAACTTGTAGCAGTTGATAGTTTCTTCCGTCCCGTGTCCTGCGTCCTGCGGGGCTCAGGGCAAGCACACAAACTCTACAAAGTTGCCCGCTCTGTCTTAACAGAGAGGTGGCAACAATGGGCTTTGCAAAGGGTTCAAAGAAAGGGACTTGGCAGGCTCATCCCGCCACGGGGACTTCAGAGAAATCCCCCCAACCCCCTGCTCCCAAGCCTGCTGCGGTGGTCGCCAGGCTGGGGCTTCTCCCAGACCTGAAGGAGGCAGAGCTGGGGACTTGGCCATAATCTGGGCCAGGTTTGGGCGTTTCCTCCCATGGGATCAGGCCCTGTGTCATGCCTGGTATTCGAGGCCCCATGAGGCCTGAACATCTGGGTTGTTTCATTCCCTCACCACCCCCAGCCTCCGCCTCGGGCTAGTCTCTGCCTGTGCTACTGTCCTGCTGTCCTGCGTCAACACCTTCCCACCCGGGCCACCCCACTCCTAGCCTGGGGCCACCCTCCCTCTGCCTCCCAGCCCACCATGTGGCTTTATTCCCCAGACTTCACTCTTCTCCCCATTTTACAGAAGGGGAAGCTAAGGGTCCATCGCTTGAGGGGCCCAGTACAGTCTGGAGACAACCCCGGGTCTGGCTGATTGCGGCAGGTTTGGGCCCCCCTCCGTCTATACCGCGTCCCCCACGCTGACCGTCCCATGGGAGCTCCCTACGAGCCTGGATGCCCACCCCCTCCCCCAAGCTTTGGATGGTGGAGAGAAGGAACTCCAGCTTTCCTCTTACCCGCCACCCCCACCCCTGCCAGGGCTTGGAGGACCAAGAGAAGTGAGGGGCCCTCCCCCCACTGGCTTCTGCTTTCTGGCCCAGCTGTGGCCAAGCCTGAGTCAGCCCTGCAGGACCACGCTTGGTGGAACGGGAGCGTCGTCGTCGGGGTGGGGAGTCTGAGAGGAGGAGGGGGCTCGAGGGGCAGGTCTGATGGGTTCAGAGTGGGGTTCCTGAGCAAGGCTGGGGTGGGGTCCGGCCTACGCCAACCCTCCCCGCTCTCCAGCGGGGGGCCAGCCCCAATAAGAGCGAGCAGGGTAGGGAGCCGAGGCTCCCAGGCTAGGAACGGGGCCTGGATCACCCCTGGCCAACCCCAGAGTGGTCTGCGGGAGGTGGAGACACTCCTCCTGCGCTCTCGCTCACTCTCGCTCTCTCTCTCTCTCTCTCTCTCTCTCTCTCTCTCTCTCTCTCGTTCTGCCTCTGTTTCTGAAGCCTCCACCTAATCTCTGCTCAGGACTTCTTTCCCCAGCCTCACGTGACAGGGTGACCCCGAGGGCCAGGAGGGGCTGAGGGAGTTGGACGGGCAGTCCCATGGGCTCGTGATGGCGGGCCCAGCACCTGGCGGGAGTGAGGAGGGGGGACAGGCTGGAAAGGGACCCAGAGAGATCGGGAGATACCTAAAGACGCCAGCCCCAGCTGACAGGGGCGTGGGCACCAGGAGGCGGGTCCGGCCCGGGGGGGGGGGGGGGGGGGGGGGGGGGGGGGGGCTGGGCCACCGCCGGGTTAAAGGCGGCTCCCTCCCCGGCCGCCGCCGCTCTCGCCTCCGCACGCCTGCCCGGCTGTGATGGCCTCGTCGCCGTTCCTGCTGCCGGCGGCGCCGCCGCTGCTGCTGCTGCTGCTGCTGCTGGGGGTCCCCGCGGAGGCGCGGGCGTCCTCGCTGGAGATGTCCCCCGAGGGGGCGGCCGCCTGCCGGGTAGGGACGGCGACGCGGCGGGTGGGCCGGCGGGTGGGCCAGCGGGAACCGACACCCAGGCGGGGGACAGGGGCTGTGCGGGACGGTCGGCTCCTCCCCTCTCCCCAGACTTTGCCGGAAAAGCCCCGGGTCCCCGGGACGCTGTCCCGACGGGCGCCGACGAGCCCCACCCCGGGCCATCGTGGCCTCACTCGGTGTCCTTTCACTTTCCCATCTCGCGTCGAGACTCTCCAGCCGTCCTCCACGCATTCCCGCCCGCCCAGCCCGGAGGTGCATTGAGCACCTAGTGCATACGTCTGGGGCGGGAAAGGAGTCTCCTTTGGCATGCCAGGGGGAGCCCAGATAAGTCGGCCCGCGGCACCAACACTTGAGGCGCTGCTTACTGGGTGCATCTCGGCCAGGGAAGAGCTCGCGTGCTTCTGGTGCCGAGCAAGCAGTTGCCCCGAAGCTGAGCGACTTGGTCACGGCTGCACAGACACGAGCTGTCGCCTTCCGTCCGCTGAAACCGGAAGTCAGCACATATTAGGCACCGCCTCTGCAGTGGGGACTAGGAGGGGTTCACTTGGGCCCCTTGAGAGGAAGAGTAAATAAGGAGTCAGCGCAAGGGTAGGGCCTTGCTCAGCTTGGGGCCAAGGCTCTCGGGTGAGATGGCAACAAATGAGCATGCATTAGTCTTCTGTGGTATGCACCTCTGAGAAGGCAGGACCAGCCATATGCATGCCTTGAGTCCCTACTGCATACAGTTCCCCTGGGTGAGCAGTTCCACCTCATCTGAAGGAAAGCAAGACCTGTGCATAAATTAAGTGCCTGCTGTTTGCAAGTCTTGTCACAACCGTTTTGCAGAAAATCTGAGATTTAGGAAGATTTGGGGATGGAATAAAGCCTTAGAGTCCGGATTCTACCTGGCAACATCTGAAAGGAGTGCAAAATGGAGCACCTACTGTGTGTAGCTGCCTTTCTTCAAGAGAGCCAAGCAGGACTGTACTCCCTTCACACACCCCTTCCACCCACACAGGCTGGGGTCCTGTGCCCACAGGAGCCCCTCAAGAAGTCACAATCACCGCCTGTCAACGTGAGCCTCTACTACGAGGCACTGTGCCCCGGCTGCCGGGCCTTCCTGATCCGAGATCTTTTCCCGACCTGGCTGATGGTCCTGGAGATCCTCAATGTCACACTGGTGCCCTATGGAAATGCCCAGGTACCTCGGCGCTGGGGAAACTGAGGCACTAGGCCAGAGGCAGGGGCAGCTGGTGGGCCAGCCAGCACTCACCCAGCTGCTTTGCAGGAACAAAATGTCAGCGGCAGGTGGGAGTTCAAGTGCCAGCACGGTGAGCAGGAATGCAGGCTTAACAAGGTGGAGGTGAGCAGCTTCCCAGAGTTCCTGAGCGGTGGGGGCGGGGGAGGGGGCGGGCAGGCATGGAGGCTGGGGAGGCTGCCCGATGTAAGGAGGGCAAAAGCAAAGCCCAGAGGGGATCGGAACCAGCTCCATCCTCTGCCTGTGTGCCTCCGTTTAATCATATCTTCATTCACCGCTTGGTGAGTGAACTACTCCCAGACTGGTGTAGGGGTGCTCTGGGCCTGCTTCATGCCCCTGCCTGTCTGCTCCCTATCCCACAGGCCTGCTTGTGGGACCAGCTGGACAGGGATGTGGCCTTCCTGACCATCGTCTGCTTGGAGGAAATGGATGACATGGAGAAAAATCTGAAGCCGGTGAGCCACACCCCTCACGTGGGCCAGGTTGGGAGACCCTGGTCTTCCCTGTACCCGTCAGACAGACCCAGGCTCAAGTCTTAGCCTGACCACCACGCTCTCTGTAGCCCCAGGAAAATGGCCTTCCCTCTGGAAGCCTCAGATCTCTGAATCAAGGGAACAGAGATGTTTTGGAGGCATGGGTAGATCAAGGAGGGCTTCCTGGAGGAGGTGCCTCTGAGCTGGGCTTGGATGAACAGAAATGAACAGGGACACGGATGATGATCCTCATGCGGGGTATGGGGATGACAGGACAGGCCCGCCTACCTCTCAGGATGATGTTGAAAAACAATTCCCAGTGGAGTAACTCATGAATGCCAATGGTTTATTCATTCATCAAACATCTGGACCACCGAAGGGGCCTCGCCCTGGGGCGCCCCCAGCCCTGCAGAGTCAAGGTGGGGCCAGAAAAGTGCAGAGGAGGAGGGAGCACTCAAAAGAATCTGGGGAAGGAAGTGGAAGGGTGTTCCCAGTGGAGGGAACAGCACATAGAGAAGCTCTAAGGAAAAGGAGACACTTGAGGGGTCAGGGCCTGCGGGTCTGGTCTCCTGAGAGGCAGGAGCTTAACTGACTGAGCCACCCGGCCTTGCCTTGAGGCAGGAGCTTAAATACTGGCCTCCCCTCAGGCAAATATTAAGCACCTGTTGTCTGTGGGCCTGGTCGCACTCCTGTGGACCCAGATGTCTCCTGTGGCCAGTGAGGAAACAGAAGCTTGGCTTGGGGGACTGTGGAGACGCCGTTGGGGAGATAACAGAGAGGAAGCTGAGGCAATGGTCCAGCTCACCACCAACCCTTCTCCACCCTCAGTGCCTGCAGATCTATGCTCCTGACGTGTCCCCTGACACCATCATGGAGTGCGCCCTGGGAGACCGTGGCACAGAGCTCTTGCACATTAACGCCCAGCTTACGGATGCCCTGCAGCCGCCCCACGAGTATGTGCCCTGGGTCGTCGTCAACGGGGTAAGAGCTCTCAGAAGCCTCGGCGTGCACCCCCCCCCCCCCGGGGATGATGGAGGCGCCCACTGGCTTGGGAGGCAGGGGCCAGACTCGGGGCCGTTCGCAGCCCCTTCTGGGCCGGACCAGGGTTGGTGGGGGCTGGGGAGACCCGGGAGACTGGACGCCTTCCTGTCTTGCTCTGCACAGAAACCCCTGAAAGATATGAGTCAGCTCCTAAGCCTCGTGTGCCACCTGTATCAGGTAAGCTGGACGCGGAACCGAGGGGGCGCCGGGCGTGGCCAGGGACCCCTCCCAGGAGCCCCAGCTCACGGACATCTCCCTCAGGGTGAGAAGCCAGACGTCTGCCAGCCCTTGGCCAGCTCCCACAGGGAAGTCTGCTTCAAGTGACACCGGGTGGCCCGGAAGGGAGCTGCTGGAGGAAGAGCCGCCCCGGTTTTTTCCGATCCCTGACTCTCAGCAGCGGCTGTTCCTCACCCAGGGAAATGTCCACACATTCCGTGAAGCCCAGTTTCAGAATCCTGTCCCAAGATCAAGACTCTGACAATGGTGCTACTGTGAAACCACCTTAATAAACACTTCTGGATGTTGTGATTCATTTGAGAAGTTCACAGGGCTTTCTTCTGGCCGACACAATGCTGAGACCCCCGAGGAGTCCCCTTTCTAGGGGGACGCCGAGCCAGACAGAACTTCCTTGTCCCACAGGGAGCAGAGATGGGCCAGAGGGAGGCACTGGGGCAGGAGGAGCCCAGAGAGGGTGTGAGGGCTCTGCACAGGAATAGGGGCATTGTGACTAGGGTTTTGAAGGGTGAGTAGGAGTTCGTTGGGCAGAGGCTATATTCATTAATTCAACACACAAGCCTAACTACCTTTTGCCGCCCCCACACTGAGTGATAGGAGTTGAGCCAGAAGATGGAGCAGGGGTTCTTGGCTAGGGAGTTTCAAAGAATGATGTTCACTAGCGGCAAGGGGATGGGTCACAGTGTTCCAGGAAAAGGGGAACAGAGGGCAAAACCAAGCCAGCAGCAAAATCTGGGCGCCTGGGTGGCTCTGTCGGTTAAGCATCTGACTTCGCCTCATGATCTCACAGTTGGTGAGTTGGAGTCCCGCATCAGGTTAGCTTGAGCCCTGCTTCAGGCAAGCCCTGCTTCTCTCTTTCAGTCTCCCACTCCCTCTTCTTCTCACTCTCTGCTTTGCTCACTTGCGCCCTCTCTCAAAAAAAAAATCTGCAGCTCTCATGCCAAGCTCAGGCCAGTTGACCACCCATCTCCCCCACTTCTGCAGCCCTGAAGCCTCTGTTCTTCTGTTTCCATGAGTCGGACTTTTTATTTTATTTTATTTTTTAAATATTTTTATTTATTTCTAGGAGAGAGAGAGAGACAGCGTGAGCAGGGGAGGTCAGAGAGAGAGGGAGATACAGACTCTGAAATAGGCTCCAGGCTCTGAGCTGGCAGTCAGCACAGAGCCCGATGTGGGGCTCGAACCCATGAACCGCGAGATCATGACCTAAGCGAAAGTCGGACGCTTAATGGACTAAGCCACCCAGGCGCCCCGAGTCGGACTTTTTAGATTCCACATATAGATGAGATCACACAGTATTCGTCTTTCTCTGTCTGGCTTATCCCACTTAGCATAATGCCCTCTGGGTTCATCCATGGTGTCAGAAATAGCTGGATTTCTTTTTTTTAATGGCTGAATAATATTCGAGTTGACCCTCTTGTTAAATGTGATCGAAGAGGATGACCTTCCTTGACCGATCTCGTCAGATTTGCCGGCATTATTTACACTTGTGCCGCAGGTACTCAGCGTGCTTTGTCGGAAGTTCCCGTGAGGAACCTCAAGTTTGAGCTTTTATTTATTTTTTAATGTTTATTTCTGAGAGAGAGAGAGAGAGAGAGAGAGAGAGAGCGCAAGTGGGGGAGGGGCAGAGAGAGAGGGAGACACAGAATCTCAAGCAGGCTGCAGGCTCTCAGCTGTCAGCACAGAGCCTGACGCGAGGCTTGAACCCACGAACTGTGAGATCATGACCTGAGCTGAAGCCAGGCGCTCAACCGACTGAGCCACCCAGGTGCCCCCCGAAACAATCTTTAAATATCTTTAAGCTAGGACAAAATTATTCTTCTTCATCCTTTATTCCTCATGCATTTCTGACCAAAACACATCCTAGCTTCCTTTTTCTTTCTGCACTTTAATTAAAAAATAATCGTTTCATTTTCTTATACTGATTATAATTTATAACACTAATTCCCAGTGAAAACCAGGAAGCCAGCAATTGTAAACTGTAAACAGGCCAACATTCTGCCCTAGATCAACAAATCTGTAAATCCACCATTTCGTCATTTCTAGAGGCATATGCTTTCTTACAGCACAAGATTTCATTGTGACAAAGGTCACATTCACAAACCAGCCCAAACATCTTTAGTCCGTCTGTAAAACTTAAGGAGCCAAAGGAGACTATCTTCAACTTTATGGTTAGTACGTAATGTTTCAGTATTTTATTGTATTTGGAAAGAATCTACATATTCAACGAATATCCGTCATCTGGCTTAGCAAGACTTCAAGGTTTTAAGTTTCCCAAAAGATATAGCAAACTATTCTTGAGCAAACTTTTTTTTTTTAATATTTTTATTTATTTCTAGGAGAGAGAGAGAGACAGTGTGAGCAGGGGAAGGTCAGAGAGAGAGGGAGACACAGACTCTGAAATAGGCTCCAGGCTTTGAGATGGCAGCACAAAGCCCGACGCAGGGTTCGAACCCACGAACCACGAGATCATGACCTAAGAGAAAGTCGGACGCTTAACCGACTAAGCCACCCAGGCACCCCGAGCAAACTTTTAATAAGACATAATTATGTTCAAAAAGCTCACCCATAAACTTTCATCCCACTTACATATATTGAACGTACTCATTTTTAACAGTTATGCTTAGATCACTTGTGAACATATGAGTCACAAAACAGCTGGCCAGCATCCTCAGTTATCTTTTTTTTTTAATTTTTTTAAATGTTTTATTTATTTTTGAGAGAGAGATAGAGATAGCGTGAGCAGGGGAGCGTCAGAGAGAGGGAGTTACAGAATCCAAAGACAGGTTCCAGGCTCTGAGCTAGCTGTCAGCACAGAGCCCGACGCAGGGCTTGAACCCACAAACTGTGAGATCATGACCTGAGCCGGAGTCGGACGCTTAACTGACTGAGCCACCCAGGCGCCCCGCATCCTCGGTTATCTTGTTGACGAATCAGGTAAGTACCAAAAATCACAGACACGCCGGGGTGGCTCAGTAGATCGAGTGTCCAACTCTTGATTTTGGTTCAGGTCATGATCCACTATGAATGTGGAGCCTGCTTAAGATTCTCTCTCTCTCTCTCTCTCTCTCTCTCTCTGTCTCTCTTCCACCTCCCTGTCCCTCTTTGTCTCTCCTTCTCTCTTTCTCCCTCTCTCTTTCTACCCCATCCCCACTCCTCCTTGCTTGCACTCTCTCTGAAAAAAAAATTCACAGACTCAAAAAACCTATGAAGTTAAACATCCAACTCTCTTCCCTTTTTATTTAGTATCATGCTTGATATGAGTAAACTACTGACTTTTATCATATGTTTTGTTCTTACGGTTGAATTTATCATTTTACAATCTTTTTAAAAAAATTTTTACTTATTTTATTTATTTCTGAGAGGGAGAGAGGGAGACACAGAATCGGAAGCAGGCTGTCAGCACAGAGCCCGATGTGGGGCTCGAACCCACAAACCGTGAGATCATGACCTGAGCCGAAGTCAGACGCTTAACCAACTGAGCCACCCAGGCCCCCCTATCATTTTACAATCTTAAACAAAGAGATAACAACCTTGTTTGACTAATCTTAATTTATGTAAACTTTTTTTTTTTAAGTCAATTACAGGGCCTCTGCGTGGCTCAGTTGCTTAAACATCCAACTTCTCCTCAGGTCATGGTTTCACAGTTCATGAGTTCGAGCCCTGCTCCTGGGTGAGCTTGAGCCCCACTCCAGGCTCCCCATTCTCTCTCCCTCTCTCTCTCTGCCCCTCACTCACTCGTGTTTGCTCTCTAAAATAAATAATAAAATAAATAAGTAAAAAAAAAATCCGATTAAATAGAGCTCTTTGACAATTACTCTTTAGCAATGCCTTCTGGAGGTAGAAAAATATTACATAAACATAGAGACAGATACAATCAGAGATCTTACAGCTCTTATTTTCAAATTTTTGCCATGACACAGGGACAGGGATACAAAACTCACGTGTTTAGTGCTCGCTTCGGCAGCACATATACAAAACTCACGTGTTTAAAAAAAAAAGTTCAGGAGATTCCCAGCTGCCTCAGTCAGTGAAGCATGCTTCACTTGATTCTTGATCTTGGGGTTGTGATTTCAGGTCTCACACTGGGCATTGAGCTTACTTAAAAAAAAAAAAAAAAAAGTTAAATTAAGTTAAAAATAGACTTAAAAAAATTTTTTTTAATAGTTGAATCCAAACTGTGTTCCTGACAGATGGAGCAAGTTATTAATATTTGCAAAGAAGGTTTTTAAGAAATTTCATATGGGAGTTCGTTCCCAAGTAGCCCTGTGAATAACATAGTTTCATTTTAGCTTAGGAGAGAAGGCTTTGAAAATTGTTCCTAACAGCCTTGGAATATCAGCCTCCCTTAAGCCAATTTCTGCCCATAGACTTCCTTTAAAAATAATTTTTTCTAAAAAGTCCTTTTAACTATCTTATCAGGTTTCACCTCAGACAGACAGTAAATTTTCCTGGCACTGATGAAATCTTACTATTTTTTTAACCAGAAGCATACCTGTTCCAAGCGATTCAAAACCCAAACCCAGGGGCGCCTGGGTGGCTCAGTCAGTTAAGTGTTTGACTTTGGCTCAGGTCATGATCTCACGGTTGGTGGGTTCGAGCCCCGCGTCAGGCTCTGTGCTGACAGCTCAGAGCCTGGAGCCTGCTTCGGATTCTGTGTCTCCCTCTCTCTCTGCCCCTCCTCCACTCATGCTCTGTCTCTCGCTCAAAAAATAACCACTGAAAATTTTAAAGAAAAAAGAAAAAGGAGACTCAAGAAATAATTAGGCCTAAGTGCTTCTTTACTAGGTTGAATGGAGGAGAAGCAATGGTGGAAAAGTGACTGAAGCATACAGGGAGACTATGGGGAGAGAGGTTACTGTCACAGGTTTGTCTGTACAGATTCTCTCTGCCTCGACTTCCCCTCTCTGGGGAAAAGGGTGTTCCTTCCTCCTGGTACAGGCAGGGGGCTGCTGACTTGGAAATTTCATCTCCCGATTTCTGGAAGAAGAAGCTCCAAGTGCCCTTTAGGTACCTTGCTGTTTTGCAGAAGAATCGCTCTGTGGGGGCGTATCCTGACCCCCTTCGACAGAAACACACCAGATAGCACAGGCCCACATCGCAAAAGTTCTTCCTGACGGACTCTTCATTTCTTTGTTCACAAAGTTATTATTATTATTTTGGAGAGGGAGAGGGAGGGGGGGAGAGAGAGAGAGAGAGACAGAGCAGGGGAGGGGTAGAGAGAGGGAGACCCAGAATCCAAAGCAGGCTCCAGGCTCTGAGCTGTCAGCACAGAGCCCAATGCGGGGCTCAAACTCACACATCGTGAGATCATGACCGGAGGCGAAGCCGGACACTCGATGGACTGAGCCCCCCGGGCGCCCCCTGTTCACTCATTATTCACGAGGAGAACTGGTCAGGTGTTAAAACCATTTCAAAGGGGATCCAAACTGGAAGCAAATTAGGAATAGTAAAATGAGGTGCACGTCAATGGCACAAAAATTAGAGGAAATGTCTTTCCACCTGGCAGAACTCATTTGCATGGCTCGAAGCAAAAATTCTTTTCCGCTGTAATCACAGAACTAGAGTTTATAAAAAATCTTCCAGAGAAATCAAAATCAGAAAACCCCGAAGTTTAAAAAAAAATTCTCTTTGTGTTTAGATTTAATCTCTAAATAATCTCCGCACTCAAAGGGGGGCTCAAACTCACAACCGGAAGCTCAAGCGCCAACTGAGCCAGCCTGCGCCCCAAGGATTTTTTTGTTACAAAGGGGCAGATAGTAAAATAGCTTAGTTGTTGAGACCACACAATCTTTGTGGCAACTACTCACTGGAGGGCAGACAATACAGAATCGAATGGGACTGACTCTGTCCCAACAGAGTTTTATTTATAGATCCAGAAATTTGATTTCCATGTAATATTCATGTCACAGAATATTATTTTGATTTTTTCCCCCCAACCATTTGTAAACTGAGAAAAGGAGGTGAAAACGAAAAGGAACAAAGGCTTTTATTGGGGCTCCAAGAATTACAATCCAGGGAGCACAGATTCCTGACTAACCAGAAAAGGGTCCCCGGTCATGTAGGAAAGCAAAGGGTTTTTTAGGAGAAAGAAGGAAAGGGCAATTACATACTTTAGATAAAGAAGAAAAAAAACCCTGCTAATTTGGTGCTGACTAGTCAAGTAATTTCTGATTACTATGGTGTTATTTTATTGGTGCTATCAAATGAAACTGTCGCTGATATTTATTAATCTACTTTCTCCATATGATCCGAATGCCAAGTGCTCTGTTGCAATTTTATGAGCAATTGCTCGTAAAACTATTGCTGCTTCTAGCCCGGTTCAAGAGTTCATTTGTTGGAAAGTAAAAGGGAGCTTCAAAACCGATTCTCTCATGTCCAGAAATTGTAGTTCAGCTATTTCACACACTTAAACAAATGCATGAAACATTTTTAGCTCGTGAGCCTCACAAAAGCAGCAATGGGGTTTGGCCCACAAGCCACAGTTTGTGACACCCTGGCTCCTTCTTCTTTTCTTTTAATGTTTATTTTTGAGAGAGAGAGAGAGAGAGAGGAAAACACAGAATCTGAAGCAGGCTCCAGGCTCTGTACTGTCAGCACATAGGCCGACGCGGGGTTTGAACCCACAAGTCTGAGATCATGGCCTGGGCGAGGTCAGACACAACCAACTGAGCCACCCAGGTGCCCCAGCCCTGGCTCCTTCTAAGTAAGCCACAGGTTTCCACTGAAACACCTATCTTCCCCTACAGGAACACAGGAGTTAAAATAGGGATAGAATTGTTTGTGCAGCGGCTGGAAAAATAAATTAATGCACGTAATGTGCCCAGGACGGTGCCTAACGTTTTAATTGTTATTCTTCTGGAACTGAGGTCAGATATCCAGCTCAAGTCTGGATCAAGTTCAATGTCCGGACCAACCTCCAACGGGGCCGTGCGCTCTTCAGACCTGTGTCCCTCCCCCAGTTCCGCGAGTCTCTGCGGGATGAGACTTCAGCCGCGGGAGCTGTCGTGGTCACGGGTCGCATCCCTTCTTGGGAATTCCGGGAAAACCTGAGAATCTGGAAGGCAACTAGACGGGAAAGCAAGATCGACCACCTTTATACAGGAGGCGGGACAACCGGCAGTGAGTCGCCGGCGTAACGCTGGCCTGTGATTGGTCAGTACAGTACGGGGCTGATTGGTAAGAGTGTGGCGACGGCTGTCCATTGGCCGGTGCAGAAAGGGGCGGGGAAACGAGGGAAAGTCAGCATGTTGCAGTGAGACGCGTATTTGCGATTGGCCCGTGAAGAGCGGAAGGCGGCGATTGGCTTCACTCAGCGGCCCGGATGGGATGCCGGTTATTTATTGGCTAATATCTCTCCAGGCCGGGTCAATGATTGAGTGGCGGGGACCTGGGCGGGCAGGCAGAAAGCGAAGACGGAGTACGATTGGCCAGCAAGGGGAGGGCCTCGATCGCGGCGCCGGTTCCAGAGTAGCGGCGGGCCATGGCTTCCCGCGGCAGGCGCTGGCTGCGCGGCCTGTGGGCCGTGGGGCAGCCCCTGTTCCAAGGTCGTGCGCTGCTCGTCACCAACACGCTGGGCTGCGGTGCTCTCATGGCGGCCGGGGACGGCATCCGCCAATCGTGGGAGGTCCGCGCCCAGCCTGGCCAGAAATACGACCCGCGGCGCTCAGGTGAGGAGGCCAGCGCTGTACTGGCCCCTGACCCCGGGGGACCTTTGGCCCCAACCTCAGATTTGGAGACCCCTGACCCGTGGCCCTGCTTCCTGGCAGGACCCTGGATCTCGGCTTGCATCCGAGACCCTGAAAACCCAGTCTCGGGCCTCCACCCCGCGGTCTCTGGCCCGTCCCCACTCCAGGTCTCCGTCTCCTCTTACTTCCTGGTCCCTGTCTCCTCCCATATCCAGTTTCTGGCCACTTGCACCCGCCACCCTCGTCCCCGCCCACCCCCTTGGCAGCTTCCCTCCCTTCTGCACGGAGACCAAGCACTGAGCACGGGAAACCGCGCCCCGGGTAGTCCGGAGCTCCTGGGATTGTGCCCTGGCCCCACGCTCCCCAACCCGCTGTGCCTGTTTCCTCCTCCGGAGAGCAGGACAGTGGTGGAACCCGCGCGCAGGGTGGTGACGGGGATGAGAGCGGAGCCACTGGCACGGTGCCTGGCAGTGGGGCTTGTCATGGAAGAACGTACGGGTGGGCTCAGGGAGGGAGGTTAACCAGGGAGGGAACGGATTGGGGAGATTTGCTGACCTGACGTGCCCCGCCCCCCTGACTCTTGGGCTGCTCTCAGCTAGCATGTTTGCAGTGGGCTGCAGTATGGGCCCCTTCCTGCACTACTGGTACCTCTGGCTGGACCACCTGCTCCCAGCGTCCGGCCTCCGCGGTCTCCCAAACGTCCTCAGGAAAGTCCTCATCGACCAGCTGGTGGCCTCTCCCATGCTAGGCGTCTGGTACTTCTTAGGTAAGGAGCCTTGTGAACTTGAGCTTTGCCCCTCCATAGTCAGGAGGGGCATAGCCAGCTTTGTGTTAAGAAGGATGCTGAGGTGCATTTCTCATATGCTCTGTGAGTGGCTGGGGAGCGAGTGCTGTGTCACAGTAGTAACAGGACAGACCCATTGGGGGCAGGTATGAACAGCAGAATCACACACTGGTGCTTCGTGTAGGAGGGATGAGGACAGTATCAGGTGGGGCGGCCCCGGGCAGTGGTTGGGTCTTCTGGGCCCAAAGGAGAAGACACTTGGCTGAGAGCTGAAGGAGCCAGCAGGCATGAAGAACAGCCCTGAGGCTGAAGGAAGAGTTGCAGAGGCTGGGGTCGATGTTGATGGGGTGCAGTCATCCAGCCCTTGGCTCTAGGAAGAGTGTCCCCACCCTTCCCGCCCCCTCCCCCAGGCTGCATCCTCTGTGAAAGAAAATAAAACAGCCTCCGGAAGGGTGCATCTTCATCCTTTGGGGTGCGTGTCTATTTATAACCTCTCGCTCACTGGACCCAACTCGTTCTGCAACGTTTCTCCACACCAGCCATCCTGCTGTGTGTGGCCTTTCCCATCACAAGCCTTTTAAACACGGTCTGCCTGCCTGGGACACCGGCCCTCGCGGCTCCTGCCCCATCTGCTCTGTCACCGGTGCTCCCCAGCCTCTGACACTTTCATTTTTTGGTCTCCCCAGGCCTTGGCTGCCTGGAGGGCCAAACCCTGGATGAGAGCTGCCAGGAGCTTCGGGACAAGTTCTGGGAATTCTACAAGGTGGGCAACGCCCACCCCCTCGTGCCCCGCCCTCCGCCCTCACGGCCACGCCCCCAAGGCCCTCCCCGTGACAACCCTCCGCCCCTCCCCGCAGGCCGACTGGTGCCTTTGGCCAGCCGCGCAGCTGGTGAACTTCCTCTTCGTGCCCTCTCAGTTCCGAGTCACCTACATCAATGGCCTGACGCTGGGCTGGGACACGTACCTCTCCTACCTGAAGTACCGGGTGAGCACGGTGGGTGGACCAGGCACCCAGGGGACTCCTCAGGGGCCCCATGGGTGAACCCCAAATAGCATGCAGCTACACGCCACGGTCAGGTCCTCCTGTGCCTATGACAATCCACAAACCACAGTGAGGGTGGGGAGCTGGTCACAAGCAGGGTAAAGACCGAAACCCTTTCTGCTGTTTGATGTGACCTTGGCCAGGTCCCTGCTGCGACCGTCCCGCAAGACTGATCCCAGCCACAAGACCGGTGGGCTCGCTGGGTGAAGAGGAGTCCAGAGGGGCGAATGGGTTGTGTCACCAGGCCCTCTTGCACGGACAGACCTTGGGCCCGTCCACCCCCAGGCTGCATGGCCCTGGGCCCCATGCAGACTGGGCTGCCCCAACCCTCCCAGCTGGGTGTCAGAAAGCGAGACTGACACTCAGCAGGCCAGGCCTGGTCCTGGCCCCACCCCGACTCTGAGGCATCTGGCTGGGCGGCCACTTCCAAGCCCAGGACTGGACTTGAGTCACCTGCTCGGGAACACAGCCATGAAGATGGAGGGTCATCCAGGAGCCCTTCTCGCCACAGGCCGCAGTGAACCTTGGCAGCCATGTTCCGCCCTCAGTGCCTGGCCCCAGCCAGCCGGGCCCGAGCCCCAAAGCCTCAACACCACTATGGGCTGGGCCCTGGGCCCAAGGTGGGGACGCGGCCCATGCCCTTAGAGCAGGGCGGAGCCCAGAGTTGACCCCCCTCAGACACTGGAGCCTTAGGCAGGGCCGGGTGGCCTCCAGCATCCTGCTCGGGTCACGAAAGTTCAATTAAATTATCTTGTCCTTGAAATTGCTGTGAATGATCAAGGCCACCGCGGGCAGGCCGGCGGCACTCACAGGGACATGGCGTCATCCATTCACTTTATTGGGTGTGTGTAGTGTTGTCATGACATCTCCTGGGGACCTGGGGGGCACGTTTGACACTCATGACGTCAGAACAGGTCTGGTGTTTCGGGGGGGGTCCCAGGGTGGCGAGTACCCACAGCAGCCCTCACCTCTAAAAAAAGGGTAAAACGTTGGGGGTGAGGAGCCAGGTGGGCCGCTGCCTGGCTCTGATCCACCCCATGGTCCATGCTGAGACCCCCACAGTGGCCTTGGCCCAGCACGTCACAGCCATGAGGCCGGCCGACCAGACTACCTCCCATCCACCCACCAGCCTGCCCTGGGGTGTCATCGGGCCCCCCTCTTCAAAATCGGCAACTCTCGATGGGGGTGAATTTTAAAAAAGGCGGGGTCCTGAGAGGAGGGGGAGCGGGGAGTTCACAGGGCCACGACACGCCACGGCAGAGTGGGGACAGGGCAGTATGTACAGGGTGGGACGTGGGGTGGGGTAGGGAGCCTGTGGCCCCTGGGGGACATCTCCAATAAATAAATAAATAACTACGATAATAAATAAAGGTGAGGGGCTAAGGTGGGGCAGAGGTCTCATGCCCTCGGCCAGTGGGGGCTGGATCAGGCCCGGGGGGCCGGGCGAGGGTGGGGGCAGGGCGGCTCTCAGCAGGCGCAGTCCTGGTGTGGAGGCGCCTGCTGGTCCGTGAGCTGTGGGCCCTGCTTGGCACCCGTGACTGCAGGGTCGGCCGTGTCCAGTGACTCGGACATCTTCTCGCAGATGACGTCCACCAGGCGCTCAAAGGTCTGCTTGACATTAATGTTGTCCTTGGCGCTGGCCTCAAAGAACTCAAAGCCTATGGTTTGGGAAGGGAGGGGTGAGGACCCTGCTCCTTCGGCTCCCAGAGACCCTTCTCTGAGGGCAGGGAACGTCTGGAGGTTTCCCGGGTGCCGGCTGCGTGTCGAAGGCACCGACAAGCCCTCCAGGGGAGCCACACTAGACTGGGTGGGCCCTGTTTCCCGTGTTCCATCCTGCACCCTAAAACTGTCCCTTCTGGTCTCCAGGCCCCTGTCCCTACCCCCCAAGCCAGCCTGTGCACTGAGGCCGGTAGCATCTGACACTCACGGCCGCCCCTAGCCTCGCCTGCTTACACACCCTGTGGTTCCCTGTTGCCTCCCGGATCCTTGGCACGCGGTTCAAGCCCTGCAGAATCAGCCACGTTTCCTCCAAGCAGCCCCTGCGTTCCAGCTGCATAAAGTTAGCGGCCAAAACACCCACGATCTCCCCCACCTCTGGCCTTTGGCGGAGTCGTTTCCTCTGCCTGAGACCACCTTTTGTTCAAGCACCAGATCCAGTGGCTTCCTCTAGGTCTTCCCTCCACTAAGCAGAACCCACTCCTCCGCCCGGGCACTCCCCCAGCTCAGTCCCCAGTCTCCTGCCCCAAAAAATAGAGCCTTTCAGGCCCAGCAACCCAACAAGAGGCTGGGCAGGGAGGGTATCCAATGAATCAGTAACTTCCTGCACGGTGCACTCCGATGCATCCATCAAGATCCATCTCACGTGCTCCTGGGTCACGGCCATTTGCACAAAGCGTGACTTGTCTGCATTCAAATCCAGGCCCTGTCCTGGCTCCGCGTCCCCTTCCCTTTCAGGGCCTCGCTGTCCCTCTCACTCACCAAGGTGGTCAGCCAACTGCCGGCCACGTTCCGACGACACCACCCGTTCGTCTTCCATGTCACACTTGTTCCCCACCAGCAGCACCTGGGCATTGTCCCATGAGTAGGTCTTGATCTGGGTTGACCTGGAGGGGGCGGTGACAGGGGGGTCAGGGCTGCGGGGGTCCTGGCTCCAGAGTCCTCTGGTCTCCTCCCTCCCGCCTCCCTCTCTGGTCCCCCCCCCCTCCTGATTACTCCTTGAACTTGGCAGGCTCGGTCCCTCCCTCCGGCCTTTGTCCTGCCCGGAACACACTTCTGGGGCTCCCTGACCTTGGACACCCCTTTCAAGCAGCCTTTCCCATCCTTCTGAGACCGCTGTCCCCCCGAGAATTTCTCCCTCCTCTGCAAATTCAGAAATTTCCTTAAAATTTAGCATTACTTTGGGCAAAAATGTTTTTTATATCCTTTCACCTATGAGAACTGTCCTATTTTCTGCCCCTGCCCTGAGTTTTTTTTCTCTCCACCTATTCAAACCTTCATTCTTCCACCTGAAATGAAACCCTTTCTTCCCCTTAGTTTGAGCCAGTGCTCCCAAATTTTAATGATTACAGACTGACTGCACGTCTGAGAATCCACTATTGTTATTTCCATTTCTGCCAGGGCCGCTGGGGCTTTGCATCAAAGCCGGCTCTGGAGACAGTCTGAGAGGGGCTGGGGAGTGCTCACCAGTCCTGCACGGCGTTGAAGGATTCCTCGTTGGTAATGTCGTACATGAGGATAAAGCCCATGGCACCCCGGTAGTAGGCCGTGGTGATGGTCCGGTACCGCTCCTGCCCTGCTGTGTCCTGGGGAAGAAAAGACAGGGGTCAGAGAGGACCCCACACATCAGCTCCTCAGAATGGAAATAAGCCCGGATTGTCCAGCCCAGTCCCCTTGAGGGCCAGAGGTGGCTCAGGGAAAGCAGACTGGCCACAGACACAGAGAATAGCGTGCCCCATCGTCCGATGGAGGCAGGTACCTACAGAATCATTCCATGACTCCTTCGACATACCTGGGCGTTGACCTGGGCAAGGGGCACTGGGGACATAGCTGTTAGCCAAATGGACACAAATCACTGCCTGGTGAAACAGACAAGCCAGGATAGGAAACAGACAAGACACACATTAAAAAAAAAGAAGAAGAGGGGCGCCTGGGTGGCTTAGTCGGTTAAGCGTCCGACTTTCGCTTAGGTCATGATCTCGCGGTTCGTGGGTTCGAGCCCCGCGTCGGGCTCTGTGCTGACTGCCAGCTCGGAGCCTGGAGCCTGTTTCAGTCTGTGACTCCCTCTCTCTCTGACCCTCCCCTGCTCACGCTCTCTCTCTTTCTCTCCTAGAAATAAATAAAACATTTTAAAAAATAAGATAATAAATTTAAAAAAAAAAAAAAGAAGAAGGAAAAAAAAAGAAGAAGAAGAAAACCTATCCTATGTTGGAGGGTGATAAAGACGGAGGGGAAAAGTAAAGTTGGACAAGGAAGGACTGGCAGTGCGGGCGAGGGTATGATTTTAAAAGCTGAAGGATGGGACACCTGGGTGGCTCCGTCGGTTAAGCGTCCAACTTCAGCTCAGGTCATGATCTCACGGTCTCACAGTTCGTGGGTTTGAGCCCTGAGTCGGGCTCTGTGCTAACAGCTAGCTCAGAGCCTGGAGACTGCTTCAGATTCTGTATCTCACTCTCTCTCTGACCCTCCCCTGCTCACGCTGTCTCTCTTTCAGAAATAAATAAAACATTTAAAAAACATTTGTTTAAAGCTGAAGGAAGGGAGGAGGGACCCATGTGGGGATTAGGAGAAAGACAATCCAGGCAAAAGGCACAGCCCCGGCAAAGGCTCTGAGGTGGGTCTGTGGCTGGAACATCTGAGGAACAGTGAGGAGGCAGAGGTGGAAGGAGACAGACCAGGCAGGGGCTCCCAGGCCAGGGGACGGGTATGGGTTTTACCCCGAGTGAGGTAGGGGCCACAGGGAAGAAATAGCCAGAAAGGAGGGCTCTGACGTGGGATTTAACAGGTTCCCTCAGGACTCTATGGGGTTAAGGGAGGTGACTAGTAGACCCAGGTCCCTGCTCCTGTCCCAGGGAATGAGGCTGGGGGCAGCCAAGATACAGCTGAAACCGAATACAGACTCATATGAAAGAGCTTAAGGTTGGGGAAACTGAGGCACCAAGCCAAGTGATGCTCTTGCTAATAGCAGGCATAGGAGAGGACCCAGCATTAGCTCCTTCCTACCCACCCCCACTCCCCCCGCCCAGAGCACACCCATAAGAGAACAACGGCACTCTCCTCTGGGCCTCTAGCCCCCCGATACACAGGAGGCACCTGATAAATGCCCAGTGTGTGAATGAATGAATCCAGACCGGGAACAGCTGCTTTTCTGGGAAGGGAAAGTGAGAGAGACAGGAGCTCCCCAGCTGGACCCACCCAGATCTGCAGCTTGATTCTCTTGTCGTTGCGGTAGATGGTCTTGACCTTGAAGTCGATGCCCACGGTGCTGACAAAAGCAGGCGTGAAGGAATCGTCTGCATAGCGGAACAGGAAAGAGGTCTTGCCCACGCTGCTGTTGCCAATGATAAGGATCTTGAACATGTAGTCGAAGTTCTGGTCCGAGGACTCCTTCTGCCCATAGCGGGAGTCTGTGGCCGACGCCATCTGGGTGTGCGGGGTGTAAGTGAGGTTGAGGCGTTCCCTTGCACCCCCAATTGCCCAAGCCCCAGCCACAGGGTGCAGAGAACTCCAGAGCTCTTGAGGGGGACTCGTGTTTTGAGATTACCCTTATCTCATTAGGAGCCCCAGTACTAATGGGGGGGCCACGGCAAAAGGCGGCCGTGACCTTGAAAGGCCGGAAGTTTCAGGGGAGGAGCTCAGAGAGATGGGGGTAGGGACAACGCTGCCAGCCCCTCCAGCCCGCCAACTGCCCAGGGCCCAGGTCCGACTGTAACCCTAAACCCTAAGGCTGAGCGGGTAGGGGTGACTGCAGCCGGCCCCGCCCCCCATCAATCATTCATGTTCCTCGCAACGGAGCTGTGCGGGCGCACGTGCACACGCGTGTACGATCCCGCGAGGATGCGAGTCGCAGCACTCCCTTCCCCTAGACCCCCAAGATAGGAGAGATCCTGCTGAGGCAGCTGGTCATGTGACAGGAATGGGGCGTGCACACGTTCAGGTGCACGCAGTAGGGAACACACCCGGACACGCGTGTGCACCTGAGAGTCAAAAACACTCGGTGCACAGGCAAGAGTCGCAGACACTTGTCTGCACACCAACACGCATATACAAATGTGAAAAACCCACCCATGCGCAGGACACCCTCCACCCATGCAGGCGTGTACACGTCACCCACACGGGCACGCATTCCCGTGCACGTATGCACACGGCGTGCACGCACACGCACAGTCCATGCGTCTCCTTCCACACGCGTGCAGCACGCACTCACTGGAGTCGGGACACCCACAGGGTCACACGAGCATACCCTGGCACATAAGCAAAAGGGTATGCACACAAACCCGCTGGCACAGGCGGGCGCGCACACGCGTGTTCACCCCACGCGCACGCGCACGCAGAGCACCTCCCGCGCGCAAAGCTTCCCGCAAGGCACTCACCTCCCCTCCCCCTCCGCCGCAGAGGCCGAGGGTGGGGGCTGGGGGTGAGATTAGGGCAGATAGGGGGAACCAGGGCCCTACCCTTACAAGGGCTGTGAACGCCGCACCCTTCTTCCCATTTGATCCTAGCCAACCTCGTCCCCTACCCCGGCAAGCCCATCAGTCAAATGAAGGTTATGCAGGTGTTCGTTGAGGCGGCGCACTAGGCCGCCCGGGAACTCACCTTGCCCTGCACCGATGCGGTGGTGACCCTAGCGGTGGCGACTTTTCGGCGGCTGTGGTGACAGGGCCCCCGTAAGTTGATGTGGGGCTGCGCGACAGGGGCAGCGGCGGCGGCAGCAGCGGCTCAGGCCCCTGCAGTCCGCGGTGACGTCCTGCAAAGAGTGAGGCGGGGCCTCACATGCAGATACAGCCGTGACGCCATCCTGGGGCGGAGCCGCGCCTGAAGAAGTGGTCCACTGACGCACACGGAGCCAGGAGAGGCGGGGCTCCCACGCAGATTGACGCACGAATGGGGCGGGGGACCAGTCTGCTCATCCAGTAGTGCGCGGGGGCGGTGCCTGGATGCCACGCCCCCTTGCGTCAGGGAGGCGGGGCCAAAAGGCGCCCTGTCACTGGCTCAAGCTCCCGAGCGACGGACTGAGTAGCCAATTAGATATAATCACCTTTTTGCTCTTGTCCAATGATAGTTCCCATGTGGTTGCAGGACAGAGAGGTTGAGGCCTTTGCTGAGCCTGGGTCCTCAGGGGGCGTTCCCGTTCCCCGCCCCCGCCCACCTTTGGTCCGAGACTTCAGCTACCGCGACCAAGACCGCGACTTCATGTTAAAAACACTCTCTATTCCCAATTTCAGAAAAGAGGAGCAGACATCCGAGAGATGCTCCATGCCCCCTGCATATGGGGTTCAAAATAAGTACAAATGAAGAAAGCGGAGATAGGGGTCAAGAGAGACCTAGTCCAGAGACCTCTTTCAATTTCTGAGGTGTAAGATTCCCCAGGGGACCGGGGCTGGTCGATGCCGGATCCTATTTCTGAGATGAACAAGAAAGAAGAAATAGGGATCAAGGGAACCACTTTCTAGAAAAGAAGGAAGGGGCTGACACTACAGGAACCCCTCTTCTCCCTGTGCCCCACTTTCCGGAGAAAATTTTCGAAGACAGTGCTGAATTGGGGCAGAGAAATGGCCTACCTCCTAAACGCCCGAAGCCTACAGTAAAACAAACAAACAAACAACAACAACAAAACCCTACAGGAAACAGGGAGGGTCTGAGCGAGGTTCAAAGACCCAACAATAAATATGGGGCTGGAAGATGCTTTACCCGTGCCTGGTTCGCGACTTAAAAACACAGGGACCCACTCCCTCCATCCTGGGGAGAGAAGACTCAGAGGGTGGGGGCTGAGATGCTCAGTCGTTTATTCTCCCAAATCTTAAGGGGGAAATGTCAGGACGGGAGGGGCAGGAGAACGAGACCCCTTCCCCCATTTGGGATCCCTGCCCCTCAGCTCCGGTTCCCAGACCTGGCAGGAGGAGTGTGGACTCCAGAGAATCCCGATTCCCTAGATTCCTCCTCGGGTGCGGGTGCAGGGGATGGCAGGGGTGGGTTTCGTCCTGTTTATAAAAAGCTCTCCAGCTGCGGAGGCGCCTAAAGACCAGAATAACTTAGCGCCTGGAGCCGCCCTCCCTCCCCCGCCCCCTGGAAGTTCGGGACGTCCCTCGCGTTCCGCTTGCATTTATTTTTAATAAGGGTAACATTTTTGTCCTTCTCTTCCAATCGCACTGTAAAAGTATTTCGAGTCTGCTGCCGAGAGTTGGGAAATTCAGAAAAGCATTAAAAAATAAAAATAAATTCACCCGGGGCGCCTGGGTGGCTTAGTCGGTTTAGCGTCCGACTTTCGCTTAGGTCATGATCTCTCGGTTCGTGGGTTCGTGCCTCGTGTCGGGCTCTGTGCTGACTGCCAGCTCATAGCCTGGAGCCTGTTTCAGTCTGTGACTCCCTCTCTCTCTGACCTTCCCCTGCTCACGCTGTCTCTCTCTCCTAGAAATAAATAAAACAAAAAAAAATAAATAAATAAAAATAAAAATAAATTCACCCCCATCTGCCCCACCCCCAGAGCGGCAATCAGTGGGGCCCTAAGGGCGCTGACTCAGGAACCGGCCCACACCCCGGTGGAGGTAAGGACGTGTAAGGCTGCTTTGCTCCCTGATCGCCCAAACGCCTGCTCTGGGCTTTGTACGTGGGTGGCACTCAGAAATACCTGTTCCCCCCACCCCAAGGGGGAAAAGCCCACAACAAAGTGCAGCGTCCGCACAGAGGAATTTGTATTTTATTTTATTTACTTATTTGTATTTATTTTTATTTTGTAAGTTTATTTATTTTGGGGAGAGAGAGAGAGAGAGACAGACGTGAGCAGGGGAGGGACAGAGAAAGGGAGACAGAATCCGAAGCAGGCTCTAGGCTCTGTGCGGTCAGCGTAGAGCCAGATGTGGGGCTCCAACCCTTGATTCACCAAATCCTGACCTGAGCGGAGTCGATGCTTAACCGACGGAACCACCCAGGCGCCCCGGGAATTTGTATTTTAAAGTAAAAATAATGCAAGGCATTTATTGTCGGGAATCAGCATTCCACTCCAGAATTAGGGATGGGTGAATGGGGGAAATTGCTGCACAGTGTGGGGGAGACCAGAGCTGTGAGAGAGAGGCCTTAAGTCTTCCCAAGTCCTGCTCTACTCAGAGTAAAGTCTAGACTCCTCCTGACAGCCCAGCCCCGCCCTCCACCTGCCTCCAGCCAGCTATCCCCCCACCTCATCTTTCTCCTCCAGTCGGACACTCCCTCCAGTTCCAGGTGCAGTCCTACCTCAGGGCCTTTGCATCTGCAGTTCCCGCTGCCCAGAGCGCAGTTCCCCACCTCTTTCCAAGCCTGGCTCTCTCACCCCCTTCAGATCTCTGATGGACACCCTCCTCCAATTTCATGTCACTTTCCTATCACATCACCATATTTCTCCTTCCTGACACATCCCCATCAGAAATCATCATTTGCCTTGTTTATCCTTTAGCCATCTGAGAGCTCTGAGAGACAGGGATTGGTGTCCCCAGCACCTAGACCTGTGGACACAGTAAGTGCCCTGTGATGGTATGACATGTATGAATGAATAATTGGAGAGAGGCTGACTTTGACTGGGGAGGTCAGGGAGCCTCTTTGAAGAAGTGCCATTTGAGCAGGAACCTGAAGAAGGATAGGACACGCTCGTCTCAAGCTCAGAGAGGTCAAGAGACTTGAAGTTTTTGGGGCGCCTGGGTGGCTCAGTCCGTTGAGTGTCCGGCTTTGGCTCAGGTCATGATCTCACGGTTTGTGGGTTCGAGCCCCGTGTCGGACTCTATGCTGACAGCTCGGAGCCTGGAACCTACTTCAGATTCTGTGTCTTCCTCTCTCTCTCTCTGCCCCTCTGCCGCTCATGTTCTGTTTCTCTCTGTCTCAATAATAAATAAACTTAAAACTTTTTTTTAAAAAGAGAGAGAGAGACTTGAAGTTGTCAATATTCAGCTCTAGGGGATACTGAAGATGGTGAGGTGGACCTGGCCCAGGCCTATGGGGATCAGGATGTGGAGAGGATGGTGGACGTGAGTCCAAGAATCCTCAAGAACTTCCACAAGTGCCAGCCTGGGATGGGGGGGTGGGGGGGGCTGGTGTCAGGAAGGACTGTGCAGGGAAGGAGATGCTGAGCTGAGACCCAACCAGTGAGGATGAGAGTGGGTGAGAAGCAATCCCGGTGGTGGGCACCGTTATGTGCAAAGGCTCTGAGGTGGGGCCAGCATGGGTGGAGTGCAGTCGGTAGGAGGGGGAAAGAGAGATGCCTGTGGCCCTAATGAAAGGGGAACATATGTTCTTATAAATAGGTGGAGAGAGAGAGACAGAAAAAAAAAAAAAAAAAAAAAAAACAACCAGGGAAATAAGGTGAAATGCTGAAGGCAGATGATCTACAGGGAAGTTATAGCAGAATTTTGTTTTCCTTTTTATGTTTCCATAATTTCCAAATTCTCTACAGTAAACACATACTACTTGTAAGTAAAGGGGGAGGGAGAAAAATATAAATATGAATCCCCTAAATCTCTGCCTTTTGAAAGTCTGGAAGGAAATGCACCAAGTTCATGACCCAGATGAATTTTAATTCTCCCTCTGTGGCATTTGATCATTACTTGGGATGATGATGAATTATCAGTGGGATGGAATCATCGAGGGACTTATTTAGGAATGAAGCCAGCTGTTCTTGAAGCCAGGGACTGCTTGATGACTTGTGTCATGTACGATTCTTCAGGCACGCGAGGAGGGGCGGGGCGGGGCGAGAAGCTGATACTTGAGCACAGAGCAGGCCCCTTCAGCACGACCATAGCCAGGAGCCAAGAAACGGGAATATCCCCCGAATCCACCCCGCCTCGCTTCCGTCCCTCCGTCCGCCAGGGGGCGCCGCGGGCTACTGTCCAGCTGCCAACTGCGTAGCCCAGCGGGCGACAGGCCCTCCTTACAACTCCGTTTCCCCATCCCTGGGGTGGACGCGGTATCAATTTTGGCTAATAGGGTTTATTTAAGCCCCGAGACACATTCAATGCCCCCACGTTTCTAAGATAATTCGGAAAGGTCACGGACACCACCCTCCAACCAAAGTTTACCCAAGTACTAGGATCAGGCCGTAGAGGGAAAACTGAGGCCCAGAAGGGGCTGTGCCTTGAAAGAAAGCATCAGGGGCCTCCTTTCCCCTATAGAGAGTCTGGGGGAGCCCCAGAAACAGCAGATATAGCGACTTGGCGTGGGGACAGGGGGGATTCTGTGCTTTCGTTGCTGTTCTGTAAGAGGGAGAAAAGGGGGGGGGCTGGGTCTAGGGAGAACAGAACCCAGACACCCGAGGATAGAAACTACAGGCACTTAAAGCGACAACCAGTGAGGGCACACGCAATCATAAGTGAAGACAATCTTCCGAAACAGCTCCCGGCCCCGAGCCCGCTTTCGTGCTCACAGCCGGGGCTCTGGAGCCAGAATCGGGTCTGGACAAAGCTTTGGTGCCGAAAATTCTCCCGTTCAGGTTTCCGGTCTCTTGAACGGAGCTGCCTGGCAGATGAAGGCGAGGCGCCTGGGGTGGGGGTGCATCTCCTTGGGCCTGCCTCCCCACCCCCTCGCGCAGGGCTACTCTAGAAGCACACAGCAGGCGCCAATAAATACGTGATAGCGGATGAAAGAATCAAGTGACGGGTGTGCCTCAGGAGTGGCCACTGGAGAAGGTGGACAAGGGGCCTAGCAAGACACCCTCTTTCCACACCAGGAATGGAAGCCCAGGAGGGAGATCCCAAGGGTGCCCGGAGAGGCTGCCCCCAGCCCCGGCCCCTCGGAGGGCTCTCTCAGCAAACCCACGTTCACACTGGCCCCCAGCCGGGTGCCTTCACTTTGACCGTGAGGCCTTACTGTAACTAAAAGCTTGGTTTTCTCCCTCGGTGGTGGGGGTGGTGGGGGTTGTGGGGAGGGGGGCAGAGGCAAGGCAGGGGCCACCTCGGACCTCTTCCCGGAAGGCCCACCCACCCATCAGGAACCCTTAGGTGCCTAAGGGCTCAGCCATCACGTTGGCCTCATGGTCCACGCAGGGCTTGCCCACGGGCCTCTGGTTGTCCAGGGCGAGGGCCCCAGGGTCTGGGCTGGCTTCAGGGACCAGAAGCTCATTGTCAGGTGACTCCGAGACCTCTGTGTCCAATGTTGTGCCCTCCTCTTCCTCCTCTTCTTCCGCCTCCTCCAGAGCCAGCCCAAACTGGAATCTGTCGGCGCCACCCTGCCCAGGGCTGGTCAGATCCACAGGGCTGCGGGGAATCTTGCTCTGGTACCACTCACGGTTGTCTTCCAGTGTGTCCAGCAGATCCTGTGCGTCTGGGTGCACCAGATCAGCCCACGTCTCCCACAGTGGGTGTGCGATGTAATCAATGAAACCCACCTGTGGGTGGATACAGGGCAGGGGGAGTGGGGGAGGGAGCTGTGTGGCGAGTCACCGTGGAATCTCAAGCTGGTCCAGCCTGCAGGCCTTTGCCCCGCTCGTTCCCTCTGTCTGGAATGCCAGTTCCCAACTCCTATTCATCCTTCAAAACCCTCTTCAAAAAGCCCCTCCTCTAGGAAACCTCTCCTGCCCCTTCTGGTCTCCCTCAACCCCTCCTCCCTGACACCTCAGGGCTGGATGTATGTGTCCCCCAGACTGGGAGCCCCTCCAGGGCCCCCCACATCACCCAAACAGATATTTCCAAACTCTGCGAGTAGGGATCCCTCTCCCCGCAGTCCAGAGGGAACGCGTCCCAGGCCTGATGCCACATAGCGCCGGGGAGACCTCACCCTTCCGCCGCTTCCCCTCGCTGGCCAGCTGTGGTCAAGCCAGGACTCCTGCGGTCGGCTCACCCGCTGTTTCCCTCCCCAGCCCCCAGTGCCTGATGGTGGCTCAGCCCAGGGGCCCTCAGACCTGGGACTTCTCCACCGAGGCAGTGTGCTTGTCACACATGGGGCTGATCTCCAGGCCCGATTCGCGCTCCCGGTCGCCCTGCTGGAAGAACTCGGCCATGATGCGGTCCGTCCACCGGCGGTACAGCTCCAGCGGCTTCGTGGGGTTGCTGAGGTCGGCGCAGTGCACCAGATTCTGCAAGACCTGGGGAGACCAAGGCTCAGGAGGGGCTCGGGCCGGGCCGCCCTCAGGCCTGGTAGCCTCCGCAAGAGGCTGGTGGCAGGAACACACCCATCTTCCAGGTGGGGAAACTGAGGCCTGGGTGGGAAAGAATGGCTAAGGCGTAGGTGCCTCCATTTCAAGTTCGCTGCAGAGTCGGTGCTTTGTAAATAAAGCTAGGTGAGAGCCATGGAAACTGAGGCCCCAGGGCCCGCTGGACACACACCTGGATGCGGTCAGAGTAGTTGTCCAACAGCAGGACTCCGAGGCTTGTCACCTTCTTGGTCTCCACCATGGTCTTGAGGTCGGCGAGGAGGTTCATGTGTTTGGACATGTCCGTGGCCAGCACCTGGGAGCAGACGAGGGAAGGTTGCCCGCCCCGCCTTCCAGACCCCACACCCACTCCGCCCCCGGGTCCTCTGAGCCTCGGTGTCCTCATCTGTGAAATGGGGGGACGTAACAAGATTCACTGCAAACCCAGTTCACAAGAGGAGCTGAGTCAGTGGTCCCTTCTCCAAGGTTGTTGGGTTCATGGGGGTACATCCCGCACAGGGGACAGGGCAGGAGAAAGAAATGAAGCTGGGGGAGGGGGGGTGAGCCGTGCCTGAGGACAGTGGTGAAGCGCAGCAAAGAGCATAGCTTGTGCAAAGGTCTTGATGCTGGATGTGTTCCCTGGAGGAACACAGAGGAGGCAGTTTGGGCTGGAGCCGGTGAATGCAGTAGCGATGGTGGGTGAGGGGAGCAGTGGGGCTCAGGGGGGTGTGAGGGGTTTATTCAGAGAACCATGGGAACCACAGGTGGATCTGAAACCAGGAAGGACCTGCCTTGACGCTCCCCACCCCACCCCCCGTGGCCACCATACGGCCAGAAGGGCTGTTTTCAGACATTTGGAGGGAAGTTCAGCTCTGAGCACAACTGTTTCAACTTCCCTGAAAAAAAAAAAAAAGTTTAACTGGACCTGAGCACAGCTAGCCCAGGCGTGAGCCCCACGCAGCCCAGAGGCTTCTCTGAGAATCAAAGAAAAAAATCTCAAAAATTCTCCCCAAACCTCCCATCTGCCTAAAATGATGCTCTCACTGGGGTTACCTATTGCCCAAGGCCCCAGGTCAAGTCCACCTCACCAAATGTTTAATTCCTCTTCACTTAGAGACTTAGTCTCCTCTGAGCTATCCCCACATGCTGTTCCCTCTGCCTTGGTCTTCCCCACCTCATGGCGCTCCACACCCCGCAGGCCCTGCCTGCCGATTGATTTCGGTGTTCCCTCCTGGGGAAGCCCTCCCCAACCTTGAGTACCGCTCCCCATAGGAGCTCCATCTCTGGGTCCTCCCATAATGGCTCTGCCTGTGGGTCCATCTCCCTCCCAGGCCATGAGTCACACAAAGGCCAGAATTCTACTCGTATTGGCACAGGGCAAGCACACAATAGGTGTCCAATAAATGCTTGTTAAATTAATGAAAGAGGGGCACCTGGCTAGTTCAGTCCACAGACCATGCAACTCTTGATCTCAGGATCATGAGTTCAAACCCCACATTGGGTGTGGTACCTACTTAATTAAAATAATAATAATAATAATTAGTAGTAGTAAAATAATTAATGAATGAGGCACAAGACCCCAAAGCTTACTGTTGTCTTCTGATCTGAAAAACACCCCATGGACAGACTTAAGGCTCAGAAGAAATTGCACCGGAAACCCCAGAAACTCCGTGTCTGAAGTGCAGCCAGGATTTCACTCACCCAACCAAGGGTCTGGTGACCCAGGGCTTGGACAGTCATTGCCCCATTTCACAGAGGAGGAAGCTCAGGTTCAGAGCGGGCGTGTCCAGGTCCAAATGAACCCCCCGCCAGGCCAAGACCACCCCACCCCTTCACAGCCGCATCTTCACCATGTCAATGACCATCCTGCGCAGACTCAGCCGCTGCTTGGCACTGAGGTTCTGAAAGATGTCACAGTTCTCTGCCTGCAGCAGCTTGAAGCCCACAGCCAGGTGGTGGTTCTCCAGCACAGAGGCGTCATTGTACATGAGCGCCAGCTCTGAGTCTGTGGGGGAGGCAGACCTCAAGACCTGTCCACCCACCAGCTCCACCCAAAGGCAGGTTTTGCAAATCCCTGGCAAACTCCTACTCGTGCATGGAGGCCCCAACCCTACTGCCCTCTATTCCATGAAGGTTTCCAGAATTCTGTCTTTCCGCCAAACCCTGCCCTGACTGCGGGTCTGGGGACGTTGGTGTGTTCAGCTCTCCCTCCTTGAGACTGGGGACCCCGTGAGGCCTTGGCGTGGCAGCAGGCAGTGCACACTGGGTGCCAGTTGAATGAACAACTGAGTCACCATCTTATTAGACTCTGGGATTGTTGAGTAAGAAGGCTCCACTCTCATCCCCTGCTCCCCAAGGATGCATACAGGAGGCACCTGGTAATTATCTGAGTCCTTCAGACATCTCGAAGGACCCTGAACTTTAAAATCTTCGTGGCCCCAGATCAGCTCTGCCATGTTTGTTATGTTCTCATTTATTGAGCACCTACTATGTACCTGGAACTGCTCTGAGCACCAAAGGGAGGGACTGTTCCAGGCATTTCACAAACAGGGAGATTAGGCTCAGAGCAGGAAAGGGTGGGCCTAAGGTCACGTGACTGACAGGTGGCGGTAGAGCCCCACCCCGGACTCACTGGTGTTAATGAGAAACTGGTTGGAGACGCCAGGATGGTCCACGTCATGGATGGCGCTTGCAAAGACGGCAGCCAGGACTTCCAGGTCTGTGAAAACGTCCTGGGCAGGCAGGGGGCATAAGAAGTAAGGGGTGGGCTCTCTGCACCCCGCACCCACCCTGGCTGCCTCTAGACTTAGGGCAGTACCTCGAGGGCAGGTGTGGCCAGCAGCACATGCGTGGACTGGGCCACATCAGCGGCGTGTAGGCTGTTGTGGTAGGCCACGTCGGCATGATAGTGACTCTCCAGCGTCAGAAGGTAGGTGACAAGTGTGTCTGCCGGGATCTGAAACGTCTTGAGCAGGTCCCGTTCCTGGACCATCACAGGCCTCCAGTCAAGGCCATGGCCTCTGGGCAGCAGCATATACCATTCCTACACCTTCTCTCCTTCTGAACTCCTGTCTGCCTCTCAAATGCCCCCTCTTCCAGGATGCCCTCCCTGCTCTCCCTCTGAACTCCCTTGGTGTCTCTGTCTTTCCCCGCTGGTCTATCTTTGTCCAGCTGTTCCCTCCAACAGTGAGTCTCTTCAGGGCCGGGCTCAGGGCTGAGGCTTCTTGGCAATGAAGTTTTCAACCTAACGAACTCCTATTCATCCTTCAATACGTAGCGCACATTATGCCATTCGGGGGTATCAGGGAGGATGTGAAGAATGAGTGCCCCCTGAGGTCTTGGGGTAGGAAGATAAGAAGGAAAGAGATTCCAGTAGCACTGGAAGCAAGGGGGGGGGTACCTGAAAGATGTTGAATATGATGGTCGTAAGGGGCCGGTTCCCACTTAGCTCCGCCACCTTGAACACATCAAGCCCCCATTTGTTGGAATCTTCCAGTTCCTAAAACGGGAAGAACTGCAGCTTAACTCCAGCTCAGCTTGCTCAGATTCTGGACCCCTGACCTCCCCCACCAGGCCTGAGCCCCACCTGCCCAATACACAGGTGGGCAAACTGAGGCCCAAGATAGGGCATCCACGAAGAGCCAGGACTCAAAGTCAAGTCTCAGTATTCCAGTTAGGGACCCACCTTGGCCAGCTGCCCCTCCTGGTCAGTCTGGACCCCAAAGCGTGGGACGGTGGCTGCAGACAGGCTGGCACTGTGTGGGAGCCCACGCAGGCCGCTGATCTGGGACATGGGCCTTGGGGTCTCCGTGGAGGTCACGCTGGGCAGCTCCATCTCAGTCTGCTGGTCTGTAGGTGGAGCGGGGCGGGGCTCAAGAAACTGATTCACCTGCTGGGGTCACCCTGCCTTGCCTCAGGCCATGGACCCTGCCAAGCCTCAGGATCAACTATTTCCTTTTCTTTTTTTTATTTTTTTTATTTTTTTATTTTTTTTTTAATGTTTTTTTTTTTTTTTTTTTTTTTTTTTTTTTTTTTTTAATGTTTTTTTTTTTTTATTTTTTTTTTAATGTTTTTTTTTTTTTTTTTTTTATTTCTAGGAGAGAGAGAGAGACAGCGTGAGCAGGGGAGGGTCAGAGAGAGAGGGAGTCACAGACTCAAACAGGCTCCAGGCTCTGAGCTGGCAGTCAGCACAGAGCCCGACGCGGGGCTTGAACCCACGAACCGCGAGATCATGACCTAAGCGAAAGTCGGACGCTTAACCGACGAAGCCACCCAGGCGCCCCAACTATTTCCTTTTCATCTGGATCAAAGTGAGCTTGAAGTCAAGTCCCTGCAGCTCTCTTCATGGCGGATCTCAGTGGCCCCTTTCGTTTGACATTGCCCATCGGGAACCAGGGCTCAGCATTTCCCCCAGAGAGCTAAATGCGCTTCCCATCTCCCAAGCTGGAGACCCAGCCGTCTCATCTCGTTCACTCCATGACTCCCTTGGAAAACTTCGACTCATGTTCCAAAACCCGAGCTTTAATACCCGCCCTCCCTCCTAAAAGTTCCCTCTGTTCCTCTCTCTGGAACAGCAGTGAGCCACGGGGCTGGAAGTGTCCATGCCTGGCTCCGTCCTCCCCGTGTCGCGGTCTGTAATAGAAGTCTTTTCTTTTCCTTGACTCTTCCTACCTCTGTTCGGCTGCTCGAGCAGTGACCCACCACAGCTCACCCAGGAAGGTCCGGGAGATGTACTCGGACACCTGGGTCCCAGAGCGGCTGGTTTCAGACAGGTGAGTTAATTCCCGGTTCAGCATCCGCTTGAACTGTAGGGAAAGGTGAGGACGGTGACGATGGGGGCACCGTGGGCAGAGGCAAATGATCCAGGCTACCTGCCCCCCTCACCTTGTTGGAGGCCATTTCCCCCACTGAGTGGCGCGTCTGCAGTGTCTCCAGCTGATCCAGACACCAGTCCAGCTCGTCCAGTGTCTCCAAAGCCAGCTTCTGCCCAGCGTCCTCTGGGGGCCGAGCTGGTCAGGAGGCCTGCCTTACCCCCCCCACCGCGGGGGACCCCATATCCCTCATACCTCTTTCTCTATATCCGGACCCTAGAGCCCTTCCCAGTAAGGCCACTCAGGACCTCAGGATCTGAATCCTAGATCTGTCCCCAAGTAGCTGTGACCATGGATGGGCAGGTCTCTGCCCCTCCCTGGGCCTCAGCCTCCCCATCTGTAATGTGCGTGCGGCAGACCCCATCCCGAGAGGTGTTTTGGAGATTACAATTAGCAAATCCCTAAGGACTCATGGGCTGAGTAGGTCGCCATGGAGAGGAAGTTCACAGCCGTCCAGCTGTGGGAAGAAAGGATAGGAGCAGGCACATTACCTGTAAGTGGAGGGGGCTGACTGCCAAAGAGGGGGTTTTCGACCGAAGCCTGCCTGCGGTACAAACGGCCTCCCTCATTCACATGGCCCCGTCCCCAAGTTTCCAGGCCCCGCCCCTATCGACCCCGCCCCTGTCCGCAAGTTGGGGCCCCGTTCTTTCGAGTCAGGCCCCACCTCAGTGTTGCCCACCTGGACTTCAGGCCCCGCCCCTCTAGGCCTGGTCCCGCCCCCTCCTGGCCGTCTTTCCCGCAGGCCCCGCCCCATGCCCGCACGCGTTGCCCCAGCTCTTTCTCCGCCTGACCCCGCCCCCGCCCCGGCTTCTGCGTACTTGGCTGCCCCGCGGCCTTGCAGGTGGGCAAGGGCTGCGACGTTGCTCCGAACCGTTCTCAGACTGGCTAGGACCTGTCGGAAGGGGTGTGATCAGCGCTGGAAAGCAGGGGTCAGTTCTCCCAGCCTTCAAGGGAGGAGGGGCAAATGGTGGGCACCCACCTGGGCAAAAGGCGTCACAATCATGTCTTCTCCGTGTCTGCGGGGGGAAGACGGGACATCAGGAAGGGCGGCCAAGAGAAGCCCTCCCGCTGGTTCCCACCTTCCAGCTTTTTATACACACACATATATACATATTAATGTTTATTTGTTTTTGAGAGAGAGAGCGAGCAAACATGAGAGGGGTAGAGAGAGAGAGGGAGACAGAGGATCCAAAGCAGGCTCTGCACTGACAGCAGGAGCCTGATGTGGGACCCAAACTCGTGGCAGGGAAATCATGATCTGAGCTGAAGTCGGATGCTTAACCAACAGAGCCACCCAGGCGCCCCACCCCCACCGCCATCTCCCAGCTTTTACCCAGACTATGCCCTCAGCTGAGTGTGCCCTCCCCACGTGACTACACTTTTGGCCCCTAAGCTCCCCTCACCTGACTCCTCTGAAAGCCACCAGGGCTCCTCTGACCAAGCCCCATCTCGCAAATAGTGAACCAGGGGCAGCAGAGGTCTTAACAGAGGCAAGGCGGAAATCATTGTATTTTTCATTTCATTATGGCTGCCAGGAAGCTCATATCAAGGTGTTTATTCGGTTGCTGCCAATTGGGCTTAACGTCTCCAGATCGCCACGGAACTCCAGACACAAGTCAAGCACAGAGAATTACTGGATATCATTCTCATCATGCTCGACGGAATAAGGGAGCTGTCTGGAAAACACCTACTTAAACTTCAAAGCTCAGCTCAAATGACCGCTTGAAGGAGGTGTGCTGAATGGAGGATCTAAGGAAGGAGGGAAGAACAAGGAGGTGTCATGCCACCAGCTGGACTCACAGATCACTAGCCACAGAGGAGTTCCGAGACATGGTCTTGGGTGAGAGTTCGTAGTCACTGTCGGAGCGGTATAGGAAGGACTCGCGCCTCTGGCTGTGCTGAGCAGGGGCCTGAATGACCCGGCCAAGGCCAGGCCCGGCCTGAGGGTCCAGGTTGCTTCTCCCGGATGAGAGCCCATTTTCCAGGTCAAAGCTGAAGGCAGATTAGACATGGTCAGTGCCAAGTGACCTGGCATGTGGATGCCTGGCTGTGGCTCACACTCTTTCTGTCACATCCTCCCTGGGGCCTCGGTGGGTTGGGCAGGGGTAGCCTCCAGCTTTTCTACCTCCTCCACAGGCACACCCCTACTCAGGGACCATGTGGCTCTCATTCCTCTGTCTCCACATCTGTACCCCGGAGCCCTTCCCTCTGGCAGCAAGCTGGATTCTGGGACATGAGTTTCAGATCTGTCCCCAAGTGACTGTGTGACCGTGGGTAGTTTCAGCCTTTCTCTGGACATCAACCACTTGGTGGACATGGTATACTCCTTCCCCCAGGAGGCTTTTAGGGAGTCACAACAGAGGACCTGAGGAGGGCAACTGTGCCTGTAAACTAAGGTCAAGGTCCCATGGTAAGTTCATGGGGACTGGAAATGGCTTCGTGGGCTTTCCTTTTTGGAGGAGGCCCGTGTCCTGCCTAGATCTGACATGCTCCAAGGCTCCCCCAGCCAGCTTTGGCGATGCTCCCCATCACCTGTCCCCACCCCCAGCTCCCAGGTCCCAGCTCATTCCTTATGGCCCTGCCCCAATCCCCATGACCACGCCCCCAGCTCGCTTGGTTGGCCTTGTCCTCAGGTTCCCCACTCCTCTGCTTCATTTTAGGTCCAAACGCCCTGCCTGTTCTCTTCCACCTCCGGGCCTTTGCACAGGCTGTGCCCTCTGCCAGGAGCACCAACGTCCCTCCAGTGCCTCTTGTTTTGGATGATCCCCAATACCCCCTCCCAGCTGTCAGCCTTGTGTCTCCATCACGCCACACCCTGACTGGGTAAGAGGGATCTACACCCCTACCCCTTGGGATTAGAGATCAGAGGAAAAGTGGAGGTGCGCGGGGAAACAGAAGTGTGGGAGAGGAGTTAGGAGAGTGAGCAGTTAGCAGCCAGGGACAGGAGGGACCATTTGTGTGGGGGTCATGAGCTTTTGAGAAGGGTATAGGCAGGAGAAGCGAAGACAGGAAGACACCAGAGACCGCCAAAGACAGCGGGCTCCTGGCTAAAGGCCAGTGTCCGTTTGGTCCCCTGCAAAGGGACCCCATCCCAGTCCCCCGGTCAGGGTCAGCACCGGCCGGAAGATTCTGAGCAGGGGATTCGCTTCAGACCGTGTTGGGGGTGGGGGATTCGACAAGATTCTGTACAGTTTCGCTGGATTCGGTCTGGGTTGGTCAACTACTGCCTGATTTGACTTGAGTGGGGTCTGATCACACAGGTTTGGGCCAGGTCCGGATAGGTTCGGTGGGGTGAATTCGGTAAGATTCGGATAGGTCCGACCGCGCTCGGGCAGGTTCGGATGCATTCGGTCATGTTCGCCTAAAAGCCGGCGGCGCTAGTTTCCGAGCAAGTCCGGGTGGCCCTCGGCCCGACTCGGGCTTATTCGGCTTCGTCCGGCCTCACTCGGGTAAATTCGGGCTTATTCGGCTGTGTCGACGGGTCTCGACCTTTTCGAGCTCGCCGCCTCCGAGAGAATCTCCAGATCTTTGGTTCGTCCGAGCGCCCGCTTCGTGACGTCACCCTTAGGGGCGGGGCTTCTTAACCCTACCCCGCCGGCGCCAGGGCTTAGTGGCTGGCCGCGAAACTCTCCGGAGGACTAGCGACAGCGGATACCCAAACCTCCCCTCGGAGGGGGGAGACCCGGGGGCGGTGCACCCCTACCCCTCCCTTGCCTCTCCTCAAATGTTCTAGAAGAGCAAGTCTATGGATCAATAGGGAAACTGAGGCCCAGAGAGGCAACAGGGTGCTGGATTCTCATCCAAGTAATGGGTGCAGAGGGTTAAGACCTGGGCCGGGATTTTCGCGCCGCGAGAAAAGCTGTTTTTCTTTCTGCTCTAAACTTAGCCCGGAACGGCGGGGTCAGACCGTGGTTCCATGACGCGGGCGGCGCGGAGCGAGGTCGCCTGGACTGTGAGAATTGCGCGTCTGTCCATCGGTTAGATAGGTAAACTGAGGCAAGTGGGCCTCGGAGGAACCCACCCTCCTCCAGTCTCACCTTCTGGGACTGATGGCTCTCCCTCAACGCCTTTGAGCTCTCTCCGGAACCCTCCGCAGGGACCCCTCTTCGCAGGCGGCTGTCTGGTGCCCTGGGGGCGCTCTCCGGGACCTGGGACACCCCTCCAACCCCTCCGGGACTGAAATGGCGCCATCAAGGACCGCGGTCACGACTCCCTCTACCCTGCCGGCTGTCGCTGGCCGTGTGACCTTGGTGAAGGGACCTCCAGTCCCTGAGCCGCCAGGTGCCAAATTATCAAGTGAGTACTAACGGGGCACGAATCCAGCGCGAGGTGCCAGACGCAGTCGGCGCCCACAAGCCCCACCTCCAGCGCCAGCCTCGCCCCCGAGCCCCACGGGGTCACAGCTTCCTGAAGGGGTCGGGATCGAACCCAGAACAGTGGATCGAATCCGTAGGACGTGTGTGGGGCTGCGAGGAGCCCGCGCTCAGCGAGCGCAGGTCTGCTTTTAGTGTGGGACCCGAACTCGCCTCCTTATACTGCGAACGCCCTGCTTCGAAGGTCCCCGTCAAATCAGGCCTTCATCTGTAGGCACCGAAGACCTTCGGTGAGGTTCCCCCCCGCCCCCCGCCCCGGGCCATCTAGTTGCTGGCTCCGGGACTGACCGGGGAGCCAGCCCAAGGGGAGGAGTCATTTCCTCCTCCCCTCACCTCCTGGGCGTTCAGCTCGCCTGCCCCGGCCCACGAGGGTCAGGAGAAGACGTGAGCCTCAGCCCGTCCGGCTCTGGGCCGCACAACTGGAAAGGGACAGACGCTGGTCCCCAGGGCATATGTACAGGCAGCGGGTGGAGGGAGACAGAGATGGAGAAAGACAGAGCCTCCAAGTACCGAGAGACAGACAGAGGGCAGAGCGAGAGAGATACCAGGAGAGGGAGGGGCAGAGCATCCCTACCCTGATTCCCCACCCCGCTCCAGCTGTCCCTGCCTCTGCCCTTCCCACCTCCAGCCTGGCGGTTCTGGTGACCCCTTCCAGGCCCTCCTTGTCGCCTCACCACAGCGGATGGGCCACAGTGAAGCGCCGCTGCAGGCGGATGCTCTGGTTTACCAGGAACTTCCTGAAGAGCCCGGGGGAGCCGCGAGGGGAGCCCCGGGGGGAGCCGGGCCCAGGGGCCGCGGCGGGCGCGGGGGGTCCCTGCATCGCCGAGACCGCATGGACGCTGCACGCAGCGCAGGCAGAGCGGGACCTTTTCTGGACAGCCGCGGGGGCGGGGCCCGGAGGGAGGGGGCAGAGGGCGCGCCGGCCCCGCCTCGCCGCTGGACCTCTCCTTGATGCCCCCACCGGGACAAATGGGGAAACTGAGGCACTGCGCTGGCCGCGACACTCTGCTCCCTTCATGGGGGGGGGTGGCCCCGTGGGCCCCAGAGCCCGGATCTTATGCCACTTCCCTCTGCGAAAATGTCCCCAGTTAGGACAGCTTTTGGGGTTGATAACTTGGCTGAAAAGAGTGAAATGCGGAAGTCGGAAAGGGAAGCTTCCTCCATTGTGGGAGGGTCACAGAGGCACGGAGTTTACCGAGGGGCTGCCCAGATCTCACACAGTGTTTCCAGCACCCCTCTGCCCATTTTCCATATGGAGAAAACGAGGCCTGGAGCCACTCGGGGCTGTGCAGAAACCACAAACCCTTAACCCCTTGGCCAGGTGAAGAAACTGAGGCTAGGAGGGAGGTAGTAATGGGCACAAGGCTTTGGTGCAGGGCAGCGGGGTTCAAACCCAGCCCCTCCCTCAGAGTCCCCCTCCACTAGGCCCCGCATGACCCCCACCCACTCTGACATTCCCCAGGCCCCGTCTCTGGATCCCTTCCGCTCTCTTGCTGTTTCTACTGCACAAACATCCGCACTCCACTCCCGCCAGGTCTTCTGTCTGTGAAGCATCAGCTGCCTCTCCTTTGCCCCAGGAGGGGCCCCAGGGGGCCTGGAAAGGGAGGTGTGTGTCTGGGCGTCTTCAGGGGTCTGTAGCAGGTGCTCTATGCTCTGAATGCTGGCACTGGGGTGGCCCTGGCCCATTCCATAGAAAGGGAAACCAAGTCTCAGGGTATCACACTCTGAGGCAGGACCTTGAACGCCCATGTCTGAGGCAGAGGCAGCTGAGGCCACACAGAAGCTCTAAGTCCTTATGTGTCCCTGCTGTGGGGGGACACCCCCTCCCCTTCCTGGGCTTTGGCCTAGGGGGTTTCATGAGTTATGGGGTGCCTAGACAAAAGGCACCCACATTTCTGGCACTCCTAGGGGAATGTGAGATACAGTGGGGATGATTAGAGCTTCGGTGGGGGAAACTGAGGTGCCACAGGGAGGAGAACTCTGACACTCTCCTGGCTCCCAACCATCCTATTGTCCCCATTGTACAGGTGAGAAAATGGAGGCTCAGAAAAGAAGGGTCATGCTGGGGCTCAGGAGTGTAGAGAGTCTCAAGGACATGGCTGGGAACCCCCTCCTGCCCCCGTGGCCCTGCAACTGGACACCTGGTGGGAACCAGACTTCCTGTCCCAAAGACAAAAATACCGTCTGTAGCTGCTGTGGCTGGACCTAATTATAGCTGGTCCCCAGGGGATAGAGGCCGCCAGGATCAGCCTGGTGAAGGCACTGGGGACAGGGTCAGAGGAGCCTTGATACCACTTCGGCCCCACGGGAGGGGTATGTAATCGTCTCATGTTCCCAAGGAGAAACTGAGGCATGGGGAGACTCCGTCCCTCCCCAGAAGTCGCAGGCATGAGATGGCAAGCGAAGACAGAAATGTATCAGTACAAACTGCTTCCTTCTAGCCTGGAGCTGAGCCAAGGGCTGTGCATGTAAAAGTCATTTGATTTTCAGAGCAACTCTGCAAAGTGGGGACTCTCATGCTCATTTTGCAGATGGGGAAATTGAGGCACAGAGAGATGGTGTTCACTTGCCTGGGTGAGTGGTAGGGCCAGGGTCACTCAAGCCTAGGCAGGAGGGCTCCCTAGCTTGTCCCCTCTCCCACTTAATGCTTAACTGGCTCCATCCCCTCTGAAGTCCCAGAGGCCACTCTGACATTCATGCTTTATCAAAAGTTTTAATAGGTTAATGGTTTGAAGCATTAACAGGTTCAACTTTAAATATTTTATTAACAGTTTTAACAGTGATGCTCTATTAATAGCTTTTTGGATGGAGAAACTGAAGCCTGGTTGGCTTGACTGCGGGAGGCCCCAAACCCAGCCGGCTAAGGAGCTGAGGCTGAAGGAGGGGTGGACATGAGGACTCCCACCTTGACTTTGTCCCTGTGTGCTGCATGACCTGAGGAAGTACCCAGCACTCTATGCCCTTAGCTTATCACTGGAATCCCCCCGTTTGAGCGTTCCTTCCCTGGGCAGACACTTTTCTCCTCTGCCACCAGGTGGCCCCAGTGAGATGGGCGCTGTTATGCCCGTTTTAGAGACAAGTAAACTGAGATCTGGTGAGGAGCCATGACTTGCCCAAGTCCCCATGGACACTCTAGACAAAGGAGGGGAGTGGGGTCTGAGTCCAGCGTATAGATGCTCACATGGATCAGATCTCACCCTCTTCTGCTCCAGACCCTCCCCATGGCTCCCTATGGCCCTCAATCCACAGCTCTTTGAATGCCTTGTGTGGTCTGAACCTTTTGAGGTCTGAGCCTCCCTAACCCCCCTCCTTCCTCTTGGCTCACTCTGCTCTAGCTTCATCCCCCTTTTCTTTGAATTAGTCAGGTTCGTTCCCACCCCCAGGCCTTTGCCCGAATGCTTTTCTCCTGCTGACTTTTCGTGTTTCAGGTCATAGCTGGAGCGTGACCCCCTCCAGGAAGCCCTCCCTAACTGGATGGGTAAATATTCTCTGAGCATCCTTCTCTCATAGGTACGATTTTACATTTCCTGTCATCATTATATGATCTGGATCTGGCTCGCCCACAAGACCCTCAAAGGCAGGAAGGACATGCCTTCGTTCACAGTGTGCCCTCCGTGTCTGGCACTCAGTATGTTTACTCAATAAATGCTAGGAAATGAATAGAGAGGCTCCCCTCCCACCCTCCAACCACAGTGTTCACACAGCTCTTCATATACTTGAACATATATATACCTGTGTTCAGCTCTTCATATCCCTGATCCTCTTTGAGTCTGAGGCTTTGCACATTCTGTTCATTCTGCTTGGCATATCCTTCCCTTCATTCCCGCTGGCTAAATTCTCTGCATCCTTCAGTTTAAGCTTAGATGCCACCTCTTCCAAGCCATCTTTTCTCACCCCCTACTCACCCAGTGCTGGATCAGAAGCCTCTGAGCTCCCCTGGCACCCTGACCTCCCCCCCCATTACAACACAGATCACTCTGTGCTGTTTACACCTGGAGTAAGTACCTCCACCAACAGCCCGTCGGCACCTGTTTGCCCATGGCTGAGTCTCCAGTACAGGGCCTGGCACATAGTAGGTGTTTAATAAATGCTTGCTGAGCAAGATGCTAGTGTCCTCCCAGACCACACGAGCTGCCTGGAGCAGTGGGGAGGACAGCCAGAGCTGGGGACCAGGCTCCCGCACAGAAAGTTCAAGACAAAATGTACAAAGTAGATTCATGTTTGCATCTCACTGTCAACACTGACGTTCAGAGAAGCACTGCTACTTTTTTAGGACCACACAGCAGGTTAGCCTTGAACCCAGCTTCCCCGAGGGCTGAGATGCTCCCCACACACCAGCATACATATGCACATGCACATGCATGCACAGTCACAGGCACACAATCCCCTGCCTTCCGGAGCCACTTGGAGTCTCCCCCCTAGACGGGCCCAAACCCGTCTGTTTGTTCTTTCTTGAAGATGGAAAATCATGAGTCACTGGGAGTGGGGACAGGAGGAGCTGAGGGATGGGGGTGTGTGGCTGGTGGGAGCAAGGGGCCTGCTGGGTCACCTGGGAACAGCTCCAAATGCTCTGGGCCATGGGGCCCATCTGCCCCAGATGTCTCCCAGAGCTGCTCGAGGACCAGGCTGGGAGTGTTACTCCAGGCTTGGTGACGGCGTAAGATGTTAGTGGTCCCAGGAGGTCCGTGGGCCAAAGTGGGAAAAAGTAAAAATCAAGATCCAGAGGGGAAAGCAACTCATCTGATGTCACCCAGCCTGGCTTCAAACCCAGGACTCTAGATCTGGCCTAGAGTCAGGTGGCTCCCCCTCCCATTTAAGGGCCCTGGGGTTTCTAAATCCTGCTCCTCAGCCCTCCGGCTCCTCAGACTTCCATCCCTGGGCCTCCCATCTCTGGTCCCTCTAAGGCCCCTGTTTTACTTCTCTGTGATTTCTGTCTCTGTCTTATTCCCTTGCCTGCCCCTCCTTGGTTTATATGAAAAAGGAGGAGCAGCCCTCCCTCTTTATTCCCCCCTTCTCCACCCCGTCCCTTCTGATGTGGAAAAAACATGCTGTTCTAGTCTCAAGAGGCTCCTCTCCTCCCCAGGTCACAGGAAGCAAGGCGGGGAGGGGTGGCCAGATAGACCATAGAGAAGGCTATGGCCCCCAGCTCTGTGGACAGCTTGCCCTGATCCTTTCATACACACTCCCCAAGGTCCCCTCCAATACTCATGGGGACCACAAACCCCACAAACATCCCAGGACATTCCAAGATCTGGAGGAGCCTCCGACACCCAGCTGGGTCAGAGCGATGTCACCCTCAGTCACACACCCATGGGCGCCCAAGGGGAAACACACAGGCACGTACGCACCGATGTACACGCACCCAAATACATCCAGTCACCCACAGAGACACAGCTGGCTGTGGACACTCACACAACAGGTCGGAGTACACACGGATGCAGCTGCTCAGACTCAGACACACACTCAGAGGCAATTGCATCTCAGCACACCCAGTCAGAGACCCATAAGCAAACCCTCCAGCTCCACCCCACATAAAAAGCAGCTTTTTCCTCCGAAGAACCGGCCTCAAGCCAAGCAGCAGAGACCCCCGCCCCTGGAGAAGCAAGGACCCTCCCCCACTCCCGCCAGGCCCCGCGCGCCCCTCCCCCACACGTCGGGAGTGCCCTGCCCCCGCCCACCTACCGCCTGTAGAAGGAGGTGGGCCAGGAGCGCAGCGACTTCTCGAGCCCCGGCCGCGGGTTCCGGTCCCGCTCACTGCGGCCCGCGGACTTGTCCGGGTCCGAATAGAAGCGCTGCTGGATGCGGATGGGGCGCCGGGGCTGACGCCACAAGTGC